ATTGTGATGTCAAAGGAGGCGGAGTGGTAATTCTTGTTTGTCTTTTGTTCAAGCACCTACATATAGCTCTTTAGCCACATAACCATTCGGCAAATTCCTTTTGCTTAAAATCTCCAAACTTCTCTCACCTATATGCCCCAAATGCATATACGACAATTCAACCTCCCAAATAGATGCATTCTATGTCTCTACGATAAAATCCTTCACTGTCTCGTCTTGAAACTCATACAGGCTACTGTGCTTGGTTTCTCTCATTATTATCAAGCATCTCGAACGAGTTTCGTAACTCCAACTTCTAAAGTATATCAACACCTAGCTAAATCCATGACACTCAAAGGAATCAAATTATTCCTCAACTCTGGAACGTGCCTCGCTCCTCACGATACCATCATATATTCTAATTTTGACATTGCCAACACCCACAACATCTCACTCAACATTGTTCCCCAATTGCACTTTACCACTATCCTGTAGGGTTCATCAACGAAAAACAACGCAGCGGAATATAGAACCCTAGACAGGATCCATGCGTATATTGAAATCGAAAAGGAATTTCGGTACGTACCTTTTGCAGATCAAAAATAAATCAGCAACTGATTGTGTCTGGATGAGCGCCCCAAGCGTTGCGCCTCTACCGGTATCCACACACACGAACGGAATTCTCCAACGATCCACGTGCTAGCGAAAGATCTTGAAGTTCCTTTTCTTGAACGCCTTTTGATTTTCGATACTCTATCGAAAAAACCCTAGACAGAACGATTCTCTATCTATTTATACAGCCTCATTATCTAGCGGAATTAAAAGAAGTGGGCCGGGCTATTTGGGCCCGCCAAACTGTCCACCTTCAATCGTACGTTTAATCGTTATCTCATAACGCGTACGACCGCATAGATAATTTAAATAGGAGAATAAATTAAAATCTACTTCTTAAGTAGATCAAGGCGCATAGACAATATTAAGTCCGTTCGCTATTGTGTGCGACCCTGTAGGTTCACTAAACATTAGCAGTGTGCCCAAAACTCTTTTGGCCCACAAGTCATAAGCGGTCTCTAGCAACACATTATGACTACCTAAGTATAGTGAAGATCGGTTTTTCGACACAACCTAATCCACAACTAATATTAGAGTATCAACCTTGATTGATTCCTAGGGCAGACCACTAACATATCCATGTATTAATAAGTATTAAACTAGTTATTATCTGGTGTCACGTGAAACGAACAACCAAAATTCACAATAATACATCCATCAAGCAATGAATTCTTAATGACAGATAAGACATAATCAGCGCTATCTGAATTATAGTTAGCTGCAGCTGCAAAGTCATCAGTAGATTTAACTGTAATTCCTTTACCCTTCTCGTTCTTCAATTTAAAGAATTCCTTTTTAAGATACTACACCTTGCCACAACTCCAACAGACAACACCACCAACCCTAAACTAACTACGTTTGTTCAAATTCGCATTAACAAAAGTACTAGTTCTTCCTCTACCTTAACCTACTAAAGCAATAGGTTCCATTCTAAATCAAATCGCGAACATCATTTCACGTTAAGTTTCTTGACCTAGAAGATATACTAACAACAGTAACAATAGCATACCAACTATTAGTAAATGAGAATAATAGTATCAAAACGCATACCTCATCTTAAAATTTAATCTTAACCGAACTCAACTGACTAACAACCACATTGAATTCGTCAATATAATTAGCAACCAACGCAAATTCACTCATCTTTAAGTGAAATAGACGACGCATCAAGTAGACTGTGTTGATCACAGAGGGCTTCTTATTCATGTTCAATAGGGCATTCATCAAACACGCGGTGGACTTTTTATTCACACTATTAAACATGGCATTACAAGCCAACGTCAACTGAATAACACCTAATGCATGTTTATCAAATAATTCCCAATCAGCTTGTTCCACTTAATCTAGCTTTTTTCCCAAACATAAGTAAGTGCAAATTCTCTGATAAAGGCAATCATCAATCCGCATGTTCTCAAAAAATATCACTCTCATCAAATCTATCGATTTGCACTTTTCCTTTTTTTATAACCATTGATTTGCTTTAACTCAATCAAGCTAGGCTCTAATACCAATTGTTGAGGAAACAAGCAATCAAAATAATAAAATAAATAAAACAAGAAAATAAATCGCACTCCAAATTTACGTGGTTCGGTTAGTAGAACCTACGTCTATGGGAAGAGGAGCACGAAATTACTCTATAGATCAAGTAATACAACGAAAATTATAGTCATACCCAAATCACTCAAACACTCAAAGTGTTTCTTAGCCCTCAATTACCCATAATAACTCACACAGTATTTAGCCCTTATAATTTATCGCGAAACAATTTCTCAATCACACAAAGAAATTTATAAATCTTACCACAATATTTATTGATTTTAGCACTCTTGGATTGCTTTAGAGGTAATTCATGAGAAGTTACCTCTTGGATAATTTTAGCGAAAATATCTACTTCTTATATTGACAAGAATTGGATCCAAAACAAGGAACCTACTCATATTAGGTAACCACCCAAATAGAAAATCTACTCAAATTAGGAAAACTACTCGAATTAGGAACTCGACACATATTTTCAACAATGAACAAGTTAAGGCAGATAGCAAAGGCAAACATCCTTTTATCAAATGACTATATGTTAAAGAAAAGTACCACTCTCTATAGAGATATGAATCTGATTGCATTCAATCGAAAAACCTACAACATATCTGATTAAAGCTATTCTACTTACAAAATTGATTCTGATAAAACTTGAGAGCAAGACCGCGTCATAAAATTATTTTTTAATATCTATTCATCATTATTACTCTGAAAAAATTAAATTAAATGTAGTAGTTAAATTATTCAATCAATGCCATACGCACATATAAAGTTATATTCAGTATAAGTCCTAAAACCTACAATTCTATGAGAATTTAAAAGAGAAATGGAAAAGGAAAAACATGACAAATGAAAGTTTACTTAGCAATAAAAAGATAATTACAAATTGTTCCACACTGTAGCAATCATATATGTACGGCCATCAAACGCAAAGCTTAGTTTCTGCTTGACAAATCCCATATTAATACTAGGGAAAATTGTCCAAAAAGTCCTAAACCTATTATATGGCAATCAGTTCAATCATAAACCTTTTAATTTTGTCAATTTAATCATGAACCTTTGAACGCTTTGCCAATTTGGTCATTTCGTCCAATTTTGACAAAAAATCGCTCACGTTGACGCTTGCTATCCTACGCAACACAATTGATGCAAACGTTGATGATTTTTGCAATTTTTTAAAATTATCTTTTTTTTATTTTCTTTCCTTAATCGTATTTTCGACCAACCACAGGCAAAGGTACAGAGGCCGCCGCCTAGACCAGGTGAGGTCATCGCAACCCTAGCCGACCACATGCAAGGGCCACAACAGCCACACCTGGGCTAGGCGAGGGGGTCTCAGCCCTTGCCGGCCAACAGACGTGGGCCGCAACCCCCTTACATAGCCAAAAATCCAATTAAGGAAAATAGAAAAGGAAAAAATGAATATTCGGAAAATTTAATAAAAAATTGCAAAAAACATCTACGTCAGTACTGATCGTGTCATGTAGAATAGTTGGCATTGACTAGATCTTAACGTCAGCAATTTCCAGCTAAAATTAGCCGAAATGACTATATTGACAAATTGTTAAAAGGCCTAGAACTAAATTAGCAAATCGTCAAAAGGTTATGACTAAATAGATAAAATTGAAAAGTTTAGAATTGAATTGGCCACTGAACAATATGTTTTGAGCTTTCTGGACAATTATCCCGTTAATATGCAGCCATGAAGCAAATCGTTTCTTCAATACGGTATCCTGGACAGTGGACACGCAAGTTGTTTTTCCAAGAATGACACGTAAGGCAAATTTGATGTTTCTATATTGTTCTAGAAATATTATATTAAATGAGATGAGATAATTAAATTATTTATAATTATTACAAACGAACATGTCTAATTAATGTTAAAAGAAGTGAGAGGTATGAAAGCACTGCGATGATGTGACTCTACCGCAGAATTCCATTCTACCAAAATTTATTTTTATTTATAAATATATGTATTAGAAACCGTAAACAATATAGTAAGCGAAAAGGAGTGAATAAAGAAACACGTGGGGGAAAGAATAACCTAACTGAAAGTGCCATTGCGTGTGGGTCCACGAAAAAAGCGCAGCCCTTTGGGAACAAGGCTTAAAATTTCAACAAGAAGGTCCACAAGGTTTTTGTTATTTATCATTTCCATATGAGGACACTAATCGTCTAGTCTCAATCACTAAAGTGTGCGACATTGCTTTTATCCGACAAATTTAATGAAACAAGATGAAGCTCAAACCGTAGGATAAGATTCCTTGTTTGATGGAACAAAAGCATCCACATAAAATTCCAGAAACTTCAATATATCATACCTTAAATCAAATATATATTCATGCAAGAATGCTAGGATGTCAAAACTTCGTTGGTGTCCCGATCTGATTAATCCCCACTCTAAAGGATTCGCAAACTTTGTAATTATACTGCAATGAATATCGATACTTACTAATCTCGATTATCTTTGATTATTAGAGACAAATCACAAAATCTTACAATTAGAAATGCATAATATCTAATATAAAAAAATGCTCCACACTGATGCAAAATAAAAACCCTAGTTTTGATGAAAGAAAGATTCATGCGTGCCGAGAGAGTGGAGGCCGATTAGACTTTGGCACGTCGTGTGAACGTTCTTGATCCTGCATAGGGTTCGGCACTCATCTTCATAAAGCATTCTTAAAAATATTCAAACATAGGACGAGGGGTCCAATCATCAGGAATAGTGTGGTTTTGCACTTCTCGAGCAAGCCAGACAAACTCGCTTGGGAAGGAAGGCGAACATAAATAAGAGAAAAAGAAAGTCGTACACAGTAAAGTCGGTCAATGAGTCAGGGCACAATTCCAACCTACAAAGTCCGCGCACTTGGCCAATGTTAATGCTACCGCTCTTCAAACCCACACACAAAATCTTAGTCCTTGGGACTTGTTCTTCTTCTCTCTGCTTGCACGAGTTGCGGATCCAAATGGAAGACACAATCTCAGAAGCCATGAATGTACTCCCTCCAGGAGTTAGATTCCATCCCACTGAGGAGGAGCTTTTGATTCGTTACCTGAAGCCCAAGATTCTCGGACAACCTGACGAACTCTACTACAACATAATTCAAGAGATTGACTTATGCAAGTTCGAACCCTGGGACTTGCCAGGCATTGCCGGTCACATGTTCAACAGTAAGGAACTGTTTTTCTATTGCTGCGTGAAGCGCAAGTACTCTAACAGCCAGCGCTCCAACCGAACGACGGTAGCCGGTTACTGGAAAGTGACCGGCAAGGAACGACGCATCATGAGCGAGACCAACGAGAAGATAGGAATCAAGAGGACTTTGGTGTTCTACGAAGGCCGCGTGCCTAATGGCAAAAGGACCAACTGGGTCATGCACGAGTATCACCTAAATTCCAAGTGTTTGGGCCATAATCACAAAGAAGGCGAGGTAATATTTTGGCTCTCATTCATTTGCACAACGCTATTGGTTATAAATTACATTTGAGGCATGCTTTTTAGGAACAGGTTGTTTCTCTATTACTGATGTTGCTCATGCATATATATGCAGATGCTGCCTTATGTGGCATGTCGGATCAAGTACAAGAAAGACAAGAAACCGATGATGGGTCACGCTCCAACAATCAGCCCTGAAGGCTATTCAAGCAGCCCTTACACATGCACTAGCAATGTATCAGACCCCCCTGGGAATCAAGAAGGGGACTTGCCGAGCTTCTGCAACACCCCCAACAATGAAGTCGCCGATAACCGAGGAGCTGCTGATGCTCAACCCCAGGTGAGAGACACGTTCTATGTTGTAGAACTTTTTTAGGATCGGATTTAGTCCCAAGTCCTCTAGAGAATATCAAAGTCACAGACACTCATTGGTTTTCTATGGCCAATAATGATTGCACCATCACATTAGCAACATCTGTGGGACTATTTTCATTTCATACTTTCAAGATTGTTTCTGTAACATAAAATGAAAAATACTTAAGATGGATGGTTTTATATAATCTACATGTTTTGAATGCAGTTGTCACTGGAAGAGATAATTGATTCGCTCTCTCCTTTGGAGACACTGGATGACTATGTATTAGACTACATCAACACTCCAACCTATGAGCCACAAGCAGGAGCAGAGGATTTCTCCTACGACCACAACGGGGATGAGTTCAACTGTGGATACGCGCCACCGTGTAGCAGCTCAGTAAATTATTCCGGTTGGGCTGGGACAACTTATGAAGACTTCTCTACTAGAACGTACGACAATGGTGGATCCTGATTTGGAAGGAGTGTGCGTGAGCGTGAGGACATTTTTTACTTCTGATGTATCAACTTCTGTGAGGGTGGCTTTTGAAGTGTTGTGAAACACATTTAGTTTCATAATTTGTGCGTGTCTTGGTTTCAGAGTCGTGCTTTTTTCTTTTATTTCAGTTTGTGTGTTTCTGCTAATTAAGATGTAATACTTTAATAAATAGTGTTATGTTCCCTAATTTTTATCCTCGTTGATGATGATCCCATATTGGTGGACGTGAAGTTGGACTGTCAAATGATTGATGTTATTGGCCGAACGATTAAATAAATGCTGTGGAATCTGGAAGTGGGAGTGCGACAAGTGTTAAATCAATTAGAAAAGGTCAAGAAAGAAAGAAAGTGAAATCTTTTGACTTAGGTAGGATGGAATATTATCTATCTCCAAGCCTTCCAAAGGAAGGCCATGAAACTTGCGCAACAAGTGTGAATGTTTTGACTTGGGTAGGATAGAATCTAAACTCCAAGACTTCCAAAGGAAGGCCTTTGAAACTTCCTCAACAAGTGTGGATATTTCATACATGGAAAGTCCAATGTTGTATTGAATATCCTCACGATTAGAAATGGCCCCGACCGTGCTAGGGCGGCCCGTCAAGGCCTAGCACTCTTATGTATCGTGCTAGGCATGACCCGTGATAATGATTGGCTATGCGAGCAGGTGTTGCGATGCTTTGATTTCTTTTTTATACTTTTTTCACAAATTAAAAATAAAATTAATTAATGAAAAGACAAAGAAAATGTCAATAGTAATAAATTATTCCCACATCATGTTTTTTTCACAGGAAGTCAACAAGCAAAAACAATTATGCAAAAAGAAAATATAAGAGAAAGTAGATAAAACTTAGACTTAGACAAATATATCTCATAAAAGGAGTACAGCATAATCACTGAAAACACCGTATCGAATAAATGCAAACACATAAACCAACGTAACACTGAAAACAAATCTCAATGGCCCCAGTAGTAAAGGCAGGAGCTCCCCTGGGCTTGACCATTTCGGCGAGATGTTTGTGTTGGTGCCTCTTCAAGTAACCCGTCCCATCACTAGATTTAAAAGAGAATTTCGCAACACATAGAGCGCAGACTACCTTCTTCTTGCCATTGGAGAGGTTCACGATATTGAACATCTTCTAAACATTGGACCCTTGCCAAAGAAAATTCTTTGGAATTGGCGAGCCATATATGAAATGGATTGGGTGCTGCTGCTAATTTGCATCCATTACAAACTTGAAGATTGGAAATATTGTATATAGAAATCGTTATTTTTTTAAGAAGTTATGAGAGAGTGATAAGGAAGGAGAAATGAATGAAAGGAGAAGGAGTTGAATTATGTGGCCGAATGGTCATGTAAAATGCGACCAAAATTGATTAGTTTCGAAGGAACTTTTTTTCAATTTACTATAACTCACAATTACTGAAAACTGTGTTTAGTTCACTTTTCTATGTTAACAATGTAACAATTTATATAATTATTTTCTTGGATCGAGAGTTTTGGTAATAGCGAAAAAAAGAAGCTAGCAATAATTTTTATAATATTGTAATGATTGCCTATTAATTACTTACAATATAGTCTATAATGAACACAATTACTAGCAGTGACAAACATAAAATCTTTTTGAAGTCTGATCAATAACGCACACAAAATTTCTAATTTGGTGGTTATGATTTCATTTAACAATGGACATCGAATTCGTATATTTGACCAACTTAAAAGGAAAAATTCAAGGTTTTGACCTAGTCCAACGACGCATTAACACAAAGTAAGGAAAATATTTGCAACAAAAAGAAAATTCGCAATAAAAACTTGTCATCGTTTTGCAATAAAAAAAATACCAATTGATGATAAAAATTAACTTAATAATATAATAGTAAAAGAAGTTGACACTAGTCATCTTAATTTACAATGATCAGATACTTACACAAAAGCAATTCTAACTTTGAAAGTTTGAAAATTCTTATCTATTTTTCATTTATTATGTAGTAACTCATGTACACTTTATTCTTAAAATTTTCTATGATTACATGCAATACGAGCTAATAGTAGATGCAGTTTCATAGAGCTTACTCATGTCTACTTTCAATGAAATCATGCAAATTTCTTATTAAACGTATTAATCCGATGATTACTATTAAGAAAAAAAAATGATACTTCTTGTTAATCAAGTTAGCATTATCTTTGACCACAAAAAAAACTGAAGTTAGCATTGTGGTCTTCTAAAAAGAAAAGCTATATAACCCTTTCGGGAGCCAATGTGGAGAAGAAGAACAGGGGCCAAGACTTCATCTTTTTGGCTTGCATCTTCTGCTCGTTCGAGATTCATCACGACCCAATATGATCCCTGAATCACTCGTCAATCTTACTTGGGATTCTTGTCATGTCGACGCCATTTCTTGTCGAAATCACAAGTAATGATTGACGAGTCTTTCATGGGTCGTATTCTCCAAGATCCATATCCATTCTTTCTTTGCCTCGGTCTGTCGGTGAGAGTTTGCAGCAGTTGCAGGTGAAAAATCGACTTCGATCTTTCTCGTTCTGGGCTCGTGCAATTTCCCATTCTTGCGGAATGAGTTCTGCTTTTCTAGGAGGGTTTCTGTTTCGTGTACTTGTGTGGCTGAACTGGATCTAACTTGCACATTGCGATATGTTCCGAAATTCTAAAGAAGATTGCAAATTTCACCTGGGAGCAGATGATACTTGATATGTCATATCAACCCCCGAATTATCAATCAATATTCCTCATTTTTTTCTGCTTTTTTTTGTGTCCCCAGCCCTGCCCAGAAAGATTAGTCAAACCTTGCGTTTGGAAATGCTGTTTTTTTTCATTTTTGGACGTCTTAATTTGTTTTTAGGAAGAGAAAAGCTGTAAGAGTATGTTGGGTTGTAACCTTGAACTTCGCTTGTGATAGCCACAACTGATCTGTGGTTCCTATGCAACAATTCCTTTTGATTCAACTGTTGCGGATGGCTCTTGATGATTGAAATTTTTTTGTTTGCTTTTCAAAATGGTTTCAACTCTTTTGCGCCTTTATGTTTGGAAATTACGATATTAAGCACAATCCCAGTGGGTTGTAATTGTCCCACTCCACCTTCCCTCTCTCTCTTACATATTTGGGGGGCAGTTGACACAATTCTTGTTGCTTTGAATCCTTCTTGGAAAATTGACATGCTCTGAATACGTGACTATTAGAGATTCATGCTTGCTCTATTGTGAATCTGCAGGTTCATTGCCTTGTCTAAGATGATTAAAGTGAACATTGAAACGAAGGGGAAAAAGATTGGGTGGGTGATGTATCAATTCACCATGAAGGCGATTCAGGCATCTCTCAACACTTTGACGCAACACTTCTATAGTTTTAGCTCTCGTGTAATTATTTTTCCCCTGATTGCAGCATTCACTTAGAGAAATGAGGGAATCACTTCCCCAAGTGCAGCAACTAGCCAGCCTCCTTCATTTACATTGCAAGATGGCTTATTTGGAAATGGTCAGCATGACAATGACTCCGGTAACGAAATAATTCATCACATAGCAATGCTTTTCTAAACACCCGTACCATCGGAAGTTTGAACTGAAGCTAATTGATTTGAATGCGGCTTCTGCACAGCTTGCACCCTTTCCGTGGACGCAATCCTATTACAGATATCAAGCTTAATGGAGCATACTGGTTTTAATTATCTGTATGCTTTGGAGTAACTAGTGGCCCTAGCATTTAAGGAAAATTGTCGAGTCGGTGTTTGATTACTCTCAAGTCGTGGTGATCTTTAGAAGATAAGAAAGTATGACTTAATGAGTGTAGGATTGTGCCTAGTTTGTTTTGTGGCTTTGTCCTTCGTTCTTGATTGAAAATTGCTCTGATCTGTATCAGGGTGCTTATGTGTTGATTTGTAGGAGTGCTGCTTCATGGGTATGTATATTTGAGTCCTGAAATTGAGTGAGCTTCTGTTATGCAGTAAACAATTCAAAAGAATAAGAACTGAGCATGGATAATGAGCAATTCTGATTACTTCAGTTCTGCTAAAAATTTTGCTAGAACTCCTAAAAGATAACTACTATCCTTAGTGGAAGTTTCACTGGAACTAATGCATGAGGGAGCTGAAGACTACTTGCTTTTAGCTTTAGACTTTGAGGGAATGACTTTTGATTAGGTAGTGTCATGTTGGGGTCGGAAGAAGTAAAATTTCCAAAGAAGTTTTGAAACCTGGAGAACGAGTTTGCAATTTTTCAGTTGAGAACAGTTTATTTAGGGCTGGAAGAAGAAGTAAACTTTCCAAAGAAGTTTTGAAACTTGGAGAACAAGTCTGAAATTTTTCAGTGTAGAGTGGAAGTTTGACTGTAACTAATCCATCAGGGAGCTGAAGACGACTTGCTTTTAGCTATAGACCTTGAGGGAATGACTTTTGACCACGTAGTGTCATGGTAGGGTCAGAAGAAGAAGTGGACTTTCCAGGGAAGTTTGGAAAATTGGAGAACAAGTTTGCAATTTTTCAGTTGAGAACAGTTTTTTGAGGGTCGGAAGAAGAAGTAAACTGTCCAAAGAAGTTTTGAAACTTGGAGAACAAGTTTACAATTTTTTAGTTGAGAACAGTTTTATCAGGGCCGGAAGAGGAAGTAAACTTTCCAAAGAAGTTTTAAAACTTGGAGAGCAAGTCTGAAGTTTTTCAGTTAGTGGAACTAATGCATGATGGAGCTGAAGACGACTTGCTTTTAGCTATAGACCTTGAGGGAATGACTTTTGACTAGGTAGTGTCATGGTAGGGTCGGAAGAAGAAGTAAACTTTCCGAAGAAGTTTTGAAACTTGGAGAACAAGTTTGCAATTTTTCGGTTGAGAACAGTTTTTTTAGGGTCGGAAGAAAAATTGAACTTTCCAAAGAAGTTTTGAAACTTGAAGAACAAGTCTGAAATTTTTCTGTTGAGAACAGTTTTTTTAGGGTTGGAAGAAGTAAACTTTCTAAAGAAGTTTCGGAACTTGGAGAACAAGTCTGAAATTTTTCAGTTTAGAACAGTTTTTTTCTCATTTCGGCAATCCCTTATGTCATTACTATAACACTTTTGTTTGTATGCAAATGCTTTTGAGGCGCGTGGACTTTTATGCATCTTTTTTTTTTTTTGGCTAAGCTATGGAAATTTTATTTGTTAATACAAGTCAAAACAAGTAGAAAAAAATAAAAGTTTTCTTTTCCCTCCCTCTGCCATTTACCACCACAGTCGTCGTTGATCTTGAGCGGACATAAACAACCATGAAGAATCTCACATCCAGATTGCTTTGACTGATTGAGCACAAGGCTTTGATATTTGAAAATAGAAGCGTCTTATGTAGATTGTTCAGAATTCACCAGTTTTTAATGGAATTCTCCTATTTTTTTGTATGGGGTCTTTCTGTAGTCCGCCAACCATGATTGATTTTGCTTCGGAAGTTATGACATTGATACTGACAGTTGCAACTCTAGTTATTCCACAAAATGACGAAATTGCCACAATATCAAAAAGGTTATTATCATGGATTACTGTTTTGTATAATTTTGCACGGGACTATAGACATACGCATTTGAATGACTCAAGAGGAAAAAATAGCTATCCCCTTATATGCACATTCACAGGACAGACAAAGGTTAAGATGTGGGATCCACCAAACAGTCAAACTTCCTTCTAAGGTTAGACCTAGTGGGAAGCAGAGGTTTTAGCTCATAGCATCTCTATTATAAATAAGCATGGGCATGAACTAATCTGAAGCAAGTTAGCATTGCTCTCTTCAAATTTCCTTCTCTTTCCCTTATAGTTAGCGTTTTTGTTCGTTTTATATTTTGAGATGGAAAGTGCAGAAATTTCATTAGTCGATCTGCCGGTGGGATTCCGATTCAGACCAACAGAGGAGGAACTTGTCAATCATTACTTGAAGTTGAAGATACTCGGCAACAAAATGGTCGAGCGGATAATTCCCGAGGTTGATGTCCATCAATTGCCACCTTGGGATTTATCCAGCAAGATAAATGGTAAGACACCATAAAAACTGTCCCATTTTAAAAATGTGTTTAAGTTCATGGTTGGTCTATGCTATTCCCTTTTGGGTTTCTGTGTCTGTTGGTTTGCTTCTGTAGTTTGAAGATTTTCTACTGCGGAATTATGCAGAATTATCCAGTATAAACTCAGATAGTGATGAATGGTTCTTCTTCTGTCGTCTGCAAAATAAGTACCCTCAAAGTAAACGGACTAGAAGGTCAAATGATTATGGTTCTTGGAAGCCTACTGGCGAAACTCGTGAAATCAGGACACGAGACAAAAAGAACATATTAGGTTTGAAGAAAATTTTGGTTTTCAAAAAGCGTCAAAGTCCCAAAAATGCCCAGACCAAATGGGTACTGCATGAATATCATTTGAATGCTGATCTTATTGGCAACACCCTCACTGACCAGGTACGCAATTTCTTGCTTTTCCTTCCTCTTGCAGAGAACTTCAGCACAAACCATATTTGAACAATTTAAGGATACATATGAATGGTTAAGGTCGCTAAATGAATGTTGTCCGTTCCAAGTGCTTTCATTTAAGAGCCTTCTGATTTCATTTTCTTCTCTGACTTAATTTTTTGGAGTTGAGACTGAGCAGCTTACTTTGATCTGACTTTTGCTTTTTTTTCCCTCAAATAAACTAAACTCTTACTTAAACTTCTATTGATTTGTTTACAACAAACAATTTTACCAAGTAAAATCCCGGACTCTTTTTTCTTCTTTTTTTTCCTCCCAATCTGTTGCTATAGCACCATTCACTTTATTTTGAAGCCGAGCAAGGAGCATCTTTTTAAAAGGAGACTTATGAGTTGAACGTGGAGTGTTACCAAAGTTGCTTTTTTGACTGATATTTGATTCTTTGAGGTCGTTTTTCTTTTTCTTTGGGGATTAAATTGTGAAGTACTTTTAGAGATCGGTGATTAGACTTGAATAAATTGTTAACTTGTCTTTTGTCTTTCAACGTTAGAGTGACTTCGTTCTTAACCACTTGAAGAAACACCCTGATAAGACGGGTATGAAAAATTCAAAGACTCGGAAGACCAACACAAGTACATCTTTTATGCCTAAAGAAGGCATCAGAAGTAGCTGTAACATGCCCAATGAAGTCAACAACACAAGTATCTCTATTATGCTTCGAGAAGGTAGCAGTAGTATCTGTAACACAATCGATGAAGCCAACAACACAAGTTGCTCCAATGCATTAGTAACAGCCAAAAGCACAATAACTGAAGAAATTCCGAAGGTGAAGGAAGCAGCAAAATGGTGCCTGTTAAAAGATCATTATAGCATATTTAGGAAACTAATTTATCTTCTTGTTTTTGTTGTGACAATAGGAATCTTTAGAAGAAAATGTGCAGCAACCACGACTGCCAATTCTCTCACCAGAATGCAACTCATCAGAATGTGATTTCTCTGCATCTCCACAGCCACCCACAGCGACCGGGGAGCAATTGACTCATGATTTGTCATATCAGGATGTGGAGTCTTATTTTGCTGATAGTGAACTACTAGAAGAGATATTAGGGATGTTGAACTCGAATAGGTAGTTCTAACTTGACCACTCTTCCGAAGAAAGCATTATATAAGCTTTTTTCGGCTAGGTAATTGGTTTGCATCCACTGGCTTGGATGCACTCTTCAAGTGCTGATAAAGAGTACGCCCATGGTGTGTCGCCAGAAAAAATATTTTCCTTGTGGTAAAGAATGTGCATGGATCAAATGCATTCATTGATGTACATTATTTGCGTAATGATTTTTTTTTATAAGCTGCATAATGAGTTATTTGTTATAGCAGTAGGTGAAATTTCGAGTGGCGGTTTTGCCAAAAATGTACCTGACAGCTGTTTGGCTTTCTCCTGGTTGGTTGTTTCACATACACATTGTTTGTATTAACGAGGTGTATGGATAGTATTGGATTTATGCCCATTCGGGTGACTGTTGTTGTGATGGGATTGGATTCGTCCCTTTTAATTTTTTCACCCTCTCGTACTGTTTGTGTGTCCTCTAATAATAACAGGATGGAAAAGGAAAAGTGAGTGGCGTTACCACCCAATCGTGAAATATTAACAGTTGCAAGTACAGTTTTGGATCCGAAAAATGAAAGATGATTTCTTGTGGTCCGAGCATAACAGATACAAATAACGTGAATAAGAAGTTCAGTTAGTCACATGTAATCCAGCAATTGCAAGATGGGAAATTTAATTCTGGCCACTCGAACGCTTGCACGTAGACACAGTTGTCAATCTCACCCATCTTGTCAACATTTCTCTATTATTCACTTTACAAAAAGTTCTCTTCTGAAGCAAGGGAAGGACTACGTAAAGACACCGATCAGTCAGGGTCAAGTCAATGCTTTTGGCATAGCATCTGGAAACGCCATCTATAAAAGCTCAAAACTAGTGTTTTAAAGGTCACTCTGCTTCATATTCAGCTACTAGAAGTTACTAAAAATTGAGTTTGAGAGTGAAGTTGTCAAGACTCAAGAATGTCCTGCCTCATTCCTGTTGATATTTTCTATAAACATGTGGATTCTTTTCTGCCTGTAGGATACAGGTTTCATCCCACCGACGAGGAACTTGTCAATTATTACTTGAGACGACAAATTCTCGGATATAAAGATGACCCGTGCATTATTCCGGAGACCCCTTCTGTGCACAAATTCGATCCTTGGCATTTACCCGGCCTATTTAGAGGTAAACGTGACATTCTCTTCAAGTTACTCTTTTGTTTATGGGTGATGAAATCTTGGTGTTTTTAGCATGGTGACCCTGGTTTGTGGGATATACTAGGTTTGAAGGTCGAGATTGCATCTTTTTTAAACTTTGAAATGGCTTGTGTACTTTTGTTGAATGGAAAAAAGAAATGATCATTCAAAAACAATTTGATGGCTTCTCCTAGTTGGCATTAATTTTCGACACTGCTCTAACCTAAGCTCACTGACCTCCATGTATCTGTAGAACGCTCAATTGTGAGGTCGCAGGAGGCGGAGTGGTGGTTCTTGTCTCGTCTTTTGTTCAAGACTCGAAATAGTAGTAAGTATGACCGACAAACTCCATCCGGTCATTGGAAAACAACCGGTCAAGAGAAGAAGATCAATGCCAAAGGTACTAATAAGTTGATTGGGACTATGAGGAATTTAGTTTTCATAGAAAACGAGGGTTCAAGCGCCACAGAGACAGTATGGGTAATGCATGAGTATCACCTACATGACTGCAATTTCGGGGCCAACTTTCTTGACCAGGTACCCAATATTACATCATTCTCTTTTCAACTGAAAGTTGAACAGTGAAATGCTCATAATGCTCGCTTCTATGGCTTTTGATGGAACTTCATAAAAATCAGGTAATGAGCTTGTGCTGTTTTGATGGGGGGATTGTGTGGGAAATGAAAGGCCTTTTAGTTCAGATTCTTGTTTGCTGAGGTTACATCTGGACCCTGGTGCGCCTGTTTGAATTTATAACCTCACAAGCTCTTGTAGTGGATAAGATGGGAAGATTTGTCGCCTAAATGATTGCTTTTACGCTAGAATTGGCCATTATATGATTACCACAGCCGGCTGTTTTCTATTTGTTTTGGTGTCTCACATCATTCTCTGCCCACCTTTGTCCATCTTCCAGTTCACAAATTCGCCGATGTGTAGTGGAATGGCTACGCTTTCTTGGCATGTGATTTCCGTAATTCAGCTAACATTTCCTATTGTCTCTTCGAATGTTCAGCAGAGATTTGTGCTTTGCCACCTTATAAACAAACGAGATGAGTTCATCGACGCTTCAACCTCTGTTGAAGCTGCATCGATGTCATCTTTCTTGAACTTAGACAATGACAAAGCACGGAGTAACATTCCGGAGGTCGGTACTAACATGCCTTGTGGTCTGCTTTAAGTGTGAAAACTCATTCAAATGGAACTGATAACCCATGTTTACTTTGTCAATAAACAGAACGTTATGGAAGCCGTGATGGATCCACGTGCAGAGACCTTATGCCCACCGGTGAACCCAAACCTCTCCTCTACTCAACCTATCGTTGACATGGGGACTCCATCTGACATCCATATTACAAATGACAATCAATTTGACTGGCTAGAATTGGTAGATAGGACTGAGAAGGATGGATCTATCAACAAGTTCTTAGATGAGACAGATCATGGACAGGTAAACTTTCTTTTACGTCTTTTTCGGCAATGTTTGTGGATTTTAAATAATGTGGATTAGGCAGATGGTATCTTCTGAATTACTTTGATATTGTTCTTGACATACATTGTAGCATCATATTGGACAATATGCCAAGTGCCGTAACAGGAATTTATCGCTTTCTTTTCCTGCAAGAAATGCACATTGCTCTCTGATTATCTGGATCATTGGATAGTCAAGTGACGAGAACTCTGACATTTAATTTAATATGTACCTCTGTATGACCATTGTCCTACTAGGGTTGGTGGTTGCCTACAGACAGAGCGATCGAGCGAGGGGAGCATATGCCTAGGGAAGAAACAAGTGTTCCTGCTCAAGACAATTTGCAGCAAGAATATATTTATTTTTTGAACGTTCAAGTAGTCGAAGATTATCCCGAGATCAACTGCTTGACACGTGATCCTACGCCAACTACCCAAGCTTCTAGAAGGCGAGACACAGTCCAACTACCGAAAAAACTCTCTGGCGGCTTGACACGTGGTCCAGTAACACTCCAAGCTTCTAGAGGTCGAGACAGAGTCCCTCTTCAAAATAAACCCCCTGGTAGACTAGCCTCCAAGGTGAAGGCCCCTGTGAGATTTGCTTCTATGTGTTTGCCTTGATTTGCGCTTCTCCTTGATATGCTTCACGTCTCATTTTAGTTTCTTGTTTTAATCAAGGATCTCACCTGAAAAAATAATCATTGTATTTGCAGGAAAGGGAAGTTGAAAAGGACAAAGCTGCCGCTAACATTTCCAAGAATGTCTTCTCTATGAGGGAGCTTAAAGCACGCTTGGAACAGACCCAAGAAATCGAACAAAGTCGCAAATCAGAATCATCTGATTTCACAGCAAGCAGTGCAGAGAGTCCTACGATGGTGCGTGATAAGGGCCTGCAAGGTTCCGTTTCAAGAGAAATTTCAAACCGAAACAAAAATCTTGAATCAAAATCCTTCCAAACTTCAGCCAAGCAAAACCGGAAAGTAAGACCCTCAAGCAAATCCAGATAGTTCACTTTGGTTTTGTTTTTGTTTCAACGTCGACTGGTTTGTTCCTAAGTTTGTGACTTCGACGGATATTTGGTAATTAATGCAGTCTCTCATTGTTATGTGTCACATCATTGTTCTTGTCTGAATTCGGTAGCCAGCACTTCATATCAGGTGAATTCGTTGGTGCGTGTTTGCTAACAAATTCCTGAACTTTTAGTTGTATGTGCGCGTGTGCTGAACTACAACATTAATGAAAACGCAACACTGCTATTACTGTGCTGCGAAAGAAAAGGTATGTGATTGCTCGTTTCATGTGCCAAAGTTTGACTGTTTTCTAGCTTGGCTATTGGTTGTACTCCTTTCAGGGAACTGTATGAGTCAATATTTGCCTGTAAATTCTTGCCCTCATCTTGTTGATCGTAAACTTGTGAATTTGTTGGCCTTGATAGGCCGGATCAGAGATGATTCTGCAACTCCTTTGATTTACCAACATTTTTGAGAAAGTCAGTCATGAAATAGTAAAAGTTAGTAACGTGAAATTTCTAACTTATTTTCAAGATTGTCATCATCTCCTCGAAAATTACTAATTACATCCGAAGAAACCGCGAACTCAGCATATCGATTTTTAAAAGTTTCGAGAAATGCACCTATTAATTCGAGCTCATTGAACATTGCAGTCTATGTCTGAACCAAATGCACCTTAAGTACTGCGTACTAAAAGGAGCAAAAATATTAGCTGCTTAGTAGACCGATTCGAAGAAAAAGTTCCTTTGTCAAAAAAAAAAAAGAATAACTAATGAAATTCATAAACAAATAGAGTGACTGCTCCCTCGCATGTTTCAAAGTTCAAACCTTGCTGCAATAAAGGAGCATGGCTGAACATGTGATGATTGTCTGACTGACTTATGGGGGGGCCAAAGAAAAAAAGATTGCCGTGGGAGCTGGTTTAAGGAAAAAGAACAGTGCCAGCCTAAGTCAAGAACGGACTACAACACTTGATGAGTGTTGCAATGTAATGCATAGTCAGTGAGTTTCTAAACAAACGAGTTATATATACACTCAACGTCCAAGAAAAACTAATCCTATCATTACATACAGATTCTCATAAACTAGTCTCATACGTCTTCCAAAACCTGATAAACAATTGTCGTTGAGTGCGCTCTCGTGCGATATTTTTCTAAAAGGGAAAGAGACTGGCAGCTTAGCTGGCCCCTCAAAGCCCACACGCGGCTCAAACACGTCTTCATCATTCTTGGCTTGGACTTCATTTGAGTTTAATGAGTTTCTGCACTTTCTTTTTGCTTCCATATTCCATTGATTCACTTGTACAGTTGCAGGTCTACATGGAAGAACCTTCACACAGGAAGTGACATGTGAAAGAGAAAATCACTTTTTTCCTATAAATCGAGGACATGAAAGCCCTTTCGATATGTTTCGAGTTCTCATGATCATGAACTGGAAAGCCTGAACTGTAGAGCCATCATTCAAGTTTTGAAACAATATCTCTCTAATCACTCACATCCCTTCAATTTAGGCTTTTTGCCATGATAACGATGAGTGATGGGTCGAGCGTTTAGCATACTCTTAACCTTAATGGTCCACGCATTAATCTTGGAAGACCGACAAATCACATACGAAGTCTCTTCGCGACGAAGAGACTCAATATATTTTAATACCCCATGCGGTAACAACATCGCATAAAAGGGTGAAACAAGATCTAGCATAGATCGATGGTTGACGACTTCAATTGCAATAAAGTAAAGAAGAAAGCTAGACCCATTTTATATAACCAAGTTCGTCAAGCACAAGCACACACAATCTACTGTCCATTCCATATAAACTAGTTCACATGTGCAGGGCCCTTGAAGGAAGGGCCACCACTGTTTGAACAAGTAAGATTGCTAGCTAGAGCTAGGTCAAAACGGAACATGTTCTGCATAAATAATTCGATAAACAACAGTGGAAACATCTGTGTTAACAGCTAGATCCTCCTCAGTCCCAGTTGCAACCACTTCTCTTGCGGTCTTCCAAAGTCATAGCTTTGCAGTACTTAACTAGTGTTCGACTAAGTTCTTGCAACCTATCTCGAACCATTTTCTAATAAAAAAGAGAAGGTGACAATAATCATTATAAATGGAGAAAACGCACTGTTGTTAGTCTAATCTGTACCTTGAGGGAAAAGCAATCTCGTGGGCCTGTATTATTGCCAAATCTGAAGAATAATATAAGTTTATAAGGGTTTGGTTGATCACAGCCAAGGAGAGATCAGGCACAAAATTCTGTAAAATAAGGGGAAAAACCCTATTTATTAAATCAGATATTTACTTGTACTTAACCATCAGATTCAGATTTCAGATCAATTTGGCGTTGCCGTGGAAGCAACAAGGATCTCTAGTGCATGTATGAAACCATTTGACAAAATGAAACATGGGGACAATATAGTTGATAATTCTACAGATACAAGTCAAGTTGGTCATCATTCTTGTCTTTGTATGCATATTGAGGTGAGGCAATAATTTTTCGCAAAGCTTATGGATTGAAATCGAGAGGGGATCCCATCACGGTTCACGTCTCGCCATGCTGCGAGATTTCGTCGGCGAGCGAGATAACGACTTTATGTTATTGTCACTGGATTAATGTGTTGTTGCTAAGATTGATTGTGTATATTGCTGCAATCAATCAAGAAAATGATAATCGCATGGAAAACACAGAGATAGTAGAGTGCATAAAATCTAGGGACTTTATAATATAGTTCATTTTTCAGTTTATCACATGAATTTGAGCTTAAAAAGTTTTAAACCATGTAGGACCATTCTAAAAATAGTCATATTCATAAAAACATTCGGTAAAGTCATCATACTCTATTAAAACATTTTAGAAAGCTTCATGTAGTTCAATTTATTAATGGGTTCACTTTAATAACTTGGTAACAATAATAAATAAAAAAACTGTGTTGGGTTCGCATGCATAAGCTAAGATGAACCAAGTGTAAAGTGAGATTTCGCTTTAAACCAAATTTTAATTTTCGTCTCGAGATCTTATTCAAAAAAGCCTATTTTATGACAAAACAAATACTTAGATGCCGGCAATATACTATTTACTACTCGTTGCCTATCTAGGTACACACTAATTGGAAAGGTCCGTCGAATTTTGGAGAATAGCCGCATCTTACCTTCCGTACTATATACGAAGATGGTACCTACATGCCTTAGACATTCGTCGACCTTGTCGGAAAATTCTCGAGAATTTTTCGCAAGACCGCAATGTTAGAATTTTTGGCAAAGGGTAGGAGAACCAATAGGCACTAACTTCGAATTTGTCCTATGTAATCAATGAGTATTGTCCACACGCGATGATAAGACTTCTTCTTTGCGTCTATTTTAGGACGCACGCACCAATCACACGAAATCAAATTGTTTCCTTTATCCTTTTTCCTTTGGGCATACATTTTTTTAATATACAAACATGTTAAAAAGCAAGTCGAAAGTAACATGGGAATTTATCTTTTTCGCTCGAGGACCCCTAAGTTTTTTTCTGTCGTCTTTCTTTCCAGAAGAGTGAGAATACAAAAAGAATTTACAGAAAAGATCTTCCACCATACTGTGAAGTTCCTTCACCTGTCTCCCATTAAACCTTTTAAGGTCATGGTCGGGACTAATATTTACATTCATGTTGTTCAAAATAATTTGTTCACAAAAAGTCTTAATCCATGACCCAGAATTTTCTTTTAATGAAAATGGACTTATTGGTTATGGCCGCAAAAATTAACGGCTCTAGCTTTTCCGCCTAACATCTAAAGTCCCCCAAATTGTGACATTCAACTTTGTTTTATTATGGGGAAGAGAAGCAAGATAATTGGTTCAAGGGAGAATTTTGAAACTAGTAAAGAAAAAACCGGCACAAATAAATTTGTTTGTATTACCCGCTTTAATGATCTTCACGGGTACATCTGATTGACACCAGAATTTGCCACAGTCCCTGACCATTGACTTGGACCAGAATAGATCGAGCAAAACATGGCTGAGGTAAAATGTGCTAAGTCCTTTTGCCAAAAGCAACGAGAAGTTGCCGAGAGGCGATATAAGAGAATATTACCAAGTGTTGAGCCACGAGAGTTGATACATGAGACTTAGTCGACAAAGGAACTAAAGCTGAAGTGAAGATCGATGAATCAGGAACGGGATAAGTGTTCAAGACGTGAAGCTAGCAATTTCGTCTACAATCATAACGACCCATTCAATTGTGAAGTCAGCACGACCATCAGTTCATGGAGCTGCAATTCTCGAAAGCTAGGAATGATAATGGCCTGGAAGCATGGGATGTCGTAACCGCTAGGAAGAGGTGTTGCAAGCTACCAAGGTAACCTAGTCGATGTGGGGGTGAGCGATGAGATCATGATTATCGAGTAGTGGGCCTTTTGATAACATTTGTAAATACACGTTACTAAATTCTAGGAGTATATTTACTTTGTTGGTAACTGTTGTTAACCGTCGCTAGTAGCTATAATTATTAGTATTGTAATTCGAGCAAAGGACTGCAAATCAATCAATAAATACCAGCTGTTCGATTTTTTCTTCCTATTATGTTTACATCCCAATACCAACTGCAATTGCCTCCAACCTCCGTACAGTTAATTTCTCTCGTCAATTCTCGTTTCCTGTCCAAGATCAATAAATGGCTCTTACGCCCTTCGTCGATTTCCATATCGATCCATTCTTTAAAAGGTGCTTCGTCGACCCTCTTCGGCGAGACAATGCCCAACACTCGAGAATATCCAGTCTCGTAATAAGAGGGTATCAATCAAGTCCGTATAGGCATCACTAATTAGGTCTTAATCGCAGAACATGCATGATGACTTCACTCTACAAATCGAGAGGACATTCAAGACCACCCCCCAAAAAAACAAATTTGAGAGGGACATTGATAAAGTGAGAACACATGAATCAAAAAACACAAGAATCATACTTTTATCAGGAAAAAAAAGGAAAATGAAAATGCCCTGAGCTTTTCTTCTTCTTCTTCTAAATTTAGGGCTACGCTTTTTCCATTCCTAATTTGGCTAAAACACTCCCCAATAAAATATTGTGACCATTTTATTCATTGTGGGTAGCATATTTAAGCATTCTCTTAGTGTCTTTTTTCTTGGAATTTCTTTTATGGGTCCCACTTTTCTTTATCTTCACCATTCTCTCTATCTCTTTGATGTTTGAGATGGTTTTGCGTCGTTTTTCATGGTGGGTGTTGGATAAATTGATTAAATTCGAAGTGCTGGATAATACTGAGTGATGTGGTAATTTTCCTTGTGATGGATTGAGATTAATAAAGTCTGAAGGTGTTTTTTTTTTCTTTTTCTTCTTTCATCTGTGTTTTTTTTATGTCCGAGAAAAGTAGGTGTTGATTCATTCCTCGTTTACTATTGATCTGATTATAGATTATGCTTTTAAGGATGATCTTTAGTGAGGCCTTTTGGCATTGCTAAGTTTCTCTCATTTTGGTGATTCTATTAGTTGAAGTCTTTGAAATTTAATGGAGAAGAGTGGAAAGAGAAAAACGGGTCTTTTCCGATCCTAAAGAGTTTTGCTTTCACCAAGTGAAAAAAATTTTATCATCCCATTAACTTCTAACGATTAAACTTAGTGATTTCTTTGACCCTGTGCGGATAGAGCATGCATTTGATTTTTTGAGTGAATTTTGAGTATTCTTTTCCTTGAAAATATCTCTGGATTGGTTTCCATTGGCCTCATTCTATTTCTGCAATTTGTTTGGCAGAATGATTTCAATATGCACATATTGGTCTAGTTATGGTTCGGACTCAGTAATAGATGAAGGGTTTTTATCCAGTAAATTTCAATTTTCTTCTCATTTCAGTAGGTTCATTGAAACTTTTTACCATTTTGTTTGCGGTTCTTGATAAAAACAAGTGGGCACGCCAAATGCATTTTCGGCATACTAGCTAGTAAAGTCTATTGGCGGCGGTGCAAAATCTAGTTGAATCCCTCCTCTATACTATATTGGGTTGGTTTTGAATAGAGAAAGCTTCCATATGTTGCACAACCACCAATTATACCAAGAAAATATCATTCGAGTGAGTTACGTGCTTCTTTTATGGAGGTGATTATTGCAGCATTCGAGAGAAAGATGTAGAAAGGTGGGATGAAGAGGAGGGAAAAATGGGACCAGCAAAAAAAAAAAATCAAAACAAGACGGAGAGGAGGTTTAATATATTAAAAGGCGAGATCCACAATGGGTGAAATAGTTCAAACGCTTTTGTTGGGGAGCGTTTTGGCCAAATTACGAGTAGAAAAAGCCCGGCCCTCGATTTATTTTACATTTTTCACCATTAATCACTCTGTGTACTATAAGTGGTAGCAATAAGATTAAGAGAAAAAACCACCAAAAACCCCAAATTTTGCCATCATGACACATTTACCTCGAACTTTTTGTGACACCAAAAATCCCGAACTTTCTTTTTGTGACATATTTACCCCAATGTATTTAGTCCATAGGCATTTTCGTCTTTTTGCTTTTTCTTTTTTTTTTCTTCCGGAGGGGGCCTCGCCGGCTCCAGCAGGTGCCCTCGTTGGATCCGGCGAGGGGCCTCGCCGGCGTCAGCGGCCCTCGTCGGATCGGGCGAGGGCGACCCTCGCCGGCGTCGAGGCGGTCCTCGCCCGATTTGGCTAGGTCGACCCTCACCGGCGTCGGGCGAGGGTCGCCCTCGCTGGGCGAGCGACGGCGGCCCTCGCCCGAGCCGCGAGGCGGCCCTCGCCGAGATCGGGCGAGGCGACCCTCGCTCGACGCGCCGGCGTCGGGCGAGGGCGGCCCTCGCCCCGAGATCGGGCGAGGGCGACCCTCGCTCGGCCGGCGTCGGGCGAGGGCCGCCGTCGCTCGCCCGAGCGAGGGCGGCCCTCGCCCGACGCCGGCAAGGCCCCCCCTCGCCGGAAAGGAAAAAAAAAGAAAAAAAAAAAAAGAAAAAGCAAAAAAGACGAAAATGCCCATGGACTAAATACATTTGGGTAAATGTGTCACAAAAAGTAAAGTTCGGGGTTTTTGGTGTCGCAAAAAAAAGTTCAGGGTAAATGTGTCACAGATGATAAAGTTTGGGGTTTTTTGTGGTTTTTTCCCTGAGATTAATTGATTGCTAGTAAGGGCGAAACAATTGGAGGACAGAATTGGGAGAGGATTCATGGTCTCTTGCCCAAATAGGACATGGGCGACCGGAACTCGGTATTGCCGGTTGCGTTCACACCCGGGAGAGAAGAAACTCGTCGCACGAGAAACCCCAAAAGATTCGCCAGGCCTCCCCGGTAGTCCAAAATCCCAGTCAGCCCCCACCACTTGCCCCAAAAGTCACGGCCTGATCCCTTTCTCTCATGAATGAACGTTTGTATCCGATGCTGCATTTAGAATAGTTTCTTCTCTTTTGCATTATATTATGATTTCGACCCGCGAAATTCGGTACACTCGCCGTGTCGGATCGACACGGGACGCGCCGGATTTTAACCGTCTAACGTTCGGTCCGGTGAAATATGCCGACACTGATAGTTTTCAGATCACGTGAATCTTACGTGAGATTTGCACTATATAAGATGAAAATTCATTTTCGAGAGTAGTTAAAGGGCAACTCATAAGGCCGTCTCGCTGTATCTCGTGCTCCTTTACGATTCCTCTCGATAGGAGGAAGTAGTAGAAAATCTTGCCTAGGCTAATAATAGATCTGTGTATGATCCCGACTAATCCCACGATCCTCGAATCCTCAAACCTCGGTCGCATTCGAGGCCGTGTGCATAGCGATTTCTGCAATATATGATCGAGTGTGGAAAGAATGATTCCAAGTGAAATCATTCTTTCTTTTGTTGTTTCTTTTTCGCGCCTCTCGTTTTCTCAAATAAGCGCTTAATTACTCGGCCGATCAATTCGACCAGAGAAAAAATAAAAAAAAGAAGGAAAAAATCGGCAGCTGCCTTAGTCTGACCTTTACTTCCCCAACTCCCAACTCCCCCCGCGATCATCGATTCGACCACGTGTCGCAGACCCACTTCGGTGGCACAGCGCATCCATGAACCGACAAGTCGCTTTAGCATCGCCACAACCCGAGAGAGGGAGAGAGAGAGAGCGAAAAAATAAAATGAAAGGAAGAGAAAACAGCTCCTGCTGCTCCATCTCCATTTTTTCTTCTCTCTCTCTCTAACTTTCTCTCTCTAGCGAAGCAAGGGGAAGAAGAAGAAGAAGAAGATGGAAGGATATCCGGCGTACCCGCCGTACCCAGACTCCGGCAACTCCTCCCCGCGATCCCGCGAGATCGACTTCGACGCCGCCCCCTGGGACGACCAGCAGCCGCCCTCCTCCGGCGGCGGCGGCGGCGGCTACAAGGCCAAGTTCATGTGCAGCTACGGGGGCAAGATCCACCCCCGGCCCCACGACAACCAGCTCTCGTACATGGGCGGGGAGACCAAGATCCTCTCCGTCGACCGCCACGTGAAGCTCGCCTCCTTCCTCGGCAAGCTCTCCGCCCTGTGCGAGCTGCCCCCCGACGGCGTCTCCTTCAAGTACCAGTTCCCCGGCGAGGACCTCGACGCCCTCATCTCCGTCACCACCGACGACGACCTCGAGCACATGATGCACGAGTACGACCGCCTCTCCCGCGCCTGCTCCAAGCCCGCCCCCGCCCGCATGCGCCTCTTCCTCTTCCCCGTCCACAGCCCCCACCCCCCGCCGCCCCCCTCCTCGGCCGACGGCAAGTCCGATCGGGACCGCTTCGTCGAGGCCCTCAACTCAGGCCCTTCCGTCCAGGAGCCCGCCAAGCCCCCGCCCGGTAATGCCGATTTCCTCTTCGGGTTGGAGAAGGGGGTCGTCGCCGGTGCCCCGCCGGCCGCGGCGGCGGCGGTTGCTGCGGACCCGGTGGCGGCGGCGGCGGCGGCGGCGGCTGTCCAGGACGGTCGCGTCGGGATCCCCCGCGAGGAGCGGGTCGTGGCGTCGGATCACGGGGTGAACCCGCTCGACATACAGCGGCAGCTGCAGGAGCTGCAGAGGCTGCAAATCAGCTGCGGCGGAGGTCCTGGGCAAGAAGCCGCCATGTACAGGAGGAAGAGCGACGACAACATGGCGAATGCTGGCTGTTACGGAGCTGATAATTACTACTTGCAAAAGCTGGCACAGGAGAAAACGCAGCAGATGACGATTCCTACGGGTGTGCCACAGGCTGCGACGGCTCCCCCAGGGTATTGGCAGGCGGAGAAGCAGATTGCGTCGGGTGGTTTCCCAGCGGCTGTGACGGGTTCGCCGGAGCAGCCGATGTACATGATCCCTGCTCCGGGAACCATTTACCACGCGCCACCGCAGATGGTGCGGCAGGTGGCGGCGGGTCAAGGGTACTACACCCTCCCCCAACCGCAAAGGTTTTCTCCTGACGTTTACCGGGATCAGCCCGTGTACAACGTCGTCCATCCGCCATCACAAGCGCCGCCGCTGTCGGCAGCAGCCCCGCCGGCTCTTCCGCCACAGACCCAGTTGTCCCGGGTCGCTGGGGCCAGCCCGGAGGGGGTTGGCGTTGGAGCCATGAGGCACAGCGGCGGCAGCGGCATGGCGGACAACATGGCCTACGCACAGTTGCCTTACGACGGCGCAAGGCAAGTGTTCTACACGGCGGCCGGAGGGATGGTGGTGCCACCCCCGCAATATCAGGGAATGACCGCGGTGAGCGCCGACATGAGGCAGGGTGGTGCGGTGTTGAATCAGGAGGGTAAGGTGGTTGCTGCAAAAGTTTCACAAGGTTCACTGTGATTCTCATGGAAAGGTATAATCATGATATATGGTATGTAAGAAAGAACTGTTGTAAGTTATGCATAGAATAAGAGTTATTGATGTCTCTTCTTGATATATATGATGGTATTGTGAAATTTCCCTGGGTTTTTGTACGCACTGGTTGAGTGCAGAGATCAGAACGAGTTTTACACTGTTGATAATAGCCTATAATCTCTCTATCTTGGCTGGTTTCTTCTTGCTTAACTTTTCGAATTCTTGAAACTTCAACAATCTGGTGAAGCAGCTTACATAGCTTAGATCTCAAATCTACCTGAGCATATGATGCCCCCCCTCAAAACCTGCCTTTGAGTTTGTGTCTGTCAGGGCAAAAGTGCAATGTTTTCAAAGTTCAAAACCCTGTTCACCTTTCCTGTGAACATGTTCCGCACACAAGAGAACGCACCGAGAGCATAAAAAAATTTGGGTTTTTCTTAGATGAATCGGCTAACATAAGCCGAGAATTAAGCACCAACCCATTGATTGACCCACTTGCGATTAAATTTATGAGAGGTGGAAAAAAGTCAAATGGATCGGATGGCTTTCAGAAGGAGAAAAACCTAGTATTCTGCTTGTGGAGACCCAGTGGGATGCAATAATGCATGTGCAAGACGAAGACTCCCCAAGGGGATCATGGAGGGCTGATTATTACCAAATTTGAGGACCTAATTTTTCCAATCCTTGTCCCACCACTTCCTCATTTCTAAACTCTCTCTCTCTCTCTCTCTCTCTCTCTCTCTCTCTCTCTTCCATGGCGATATTTTCATTTGTTTAAATGTTATTGCCAAAATAGTTGCACTTCCATGTACATCTTTAGGTGTCTTCCAGTACCCAACTTCCAAGTATGGTGTGGTGTGGTGTGGTGGCTGCTGACAATGGGCCTTGTCAAGTATCTGGTGAAATTCGACCAAAAAAACAAAACAAAAAAAAAAGTTATCTGGTGAATGATTGCATCTCCCTAGTGGAAAAAATCGGCAACATTATTACCAAAACCAAAAGGTCAGCTAAGGGAATGGACGCGTCCTGTTGCTTCAATGAAGAATCAACGAAGAGACGTAGACTTAAATAGGTTGGCTGATGTATTGCTAGTATTGACCTGTTATGCATCGATAGACCCTCTACGAGATGGGTTGTGGAACCCAGCCCTGAATGGAGAGATTAGAGTGTCCTGGCTGTCACAAAAGTCAAAAAGGTCACCCCTTTCTTTCTCTCTCTCTCTCTCTCTCTGTTAACAACGGATGAAACTCCATGCTGATGTTAATTAGGAATCTAATAATAGGAAAGAAGAAGCTTCTAGTCTATGAACAGGCACTGAGTTTAGTATTAGGCCACGAGCTTAGCAGCTTCTGGTGGACTCATATCATGTGAAACCAAGCTTAAGCTTTCATAAAGGTCCGTACATGGATTAATCAAAGTAATCGCCCTTGTTGGTCATTAGCAAATTAATAAGACCGTCCCTTTCGAGCAACGTCTAATCTGCACCGGAAAGCCACACAAGAGACAGAAACCTCCCTCTCAAAATCTCCCGTGTTTATCCTACCTTCCTGATCAAATCTTTTTCATACCCTCGCGCTCCAAACAAACAGAGAGGACAGATGAACTTACGTTATCTTTTACCCCCTGTGTTTTGTTGGCACTCGATGCTGTCTGCGGGGGACGAGTGCGCGGGGGATTGGTTAGCAGCTGCATTCACCAAAAGGGAGATTCAACCCCATGAAAAGGGAAGGCTTCAGCACCATGTTTTTTGCAGCTCAGATATTCCCCATCTACAAATGTTCCCATCTTTTTCAATGGCTTGCGCTCTTATCACCTTCATTGGATCCCACCACCACCTTCATCCAAAAACAGAAAAACAAAAAACAAAAGAAGGAAAAAGAAAGATGATGGCATGAGGGATGGAAGTCATTTTCCTTAGGGCGTTGCGCTATCAAATTAATTAGTGAGCTTCATCAGTTGTCACTGTTATGCTCGCAGGTCTCGCAGGCAGCGTGGCGCCATCTTGTGGGGAGTTAGTTCGCTTGGATTGATTACGCTCGTCACGATCATACATAAATATTGCAGAAAAAGTTTGCCTGTCGAACATTCATTCGAAGTAATTTGATCAAACATTGATCGACCAAATATCTTCCAAAAGCAAGAATAAAGTAGAATACATAAGTAGATTCCCACAAGATATTTTATATCTGAATACGTCGGGCTGAGTGATTCCAAGATGGAAGATATCTTTTTACTTGTCGACCAGGGCACTGCTACAAGCAGTTGGCGCAATCAGTCGACAAAGAATGATAAAGAAAGCCTTGCTCTCGTCTGGGTCAAGGAAAGCTGCTTTTGCTTTCCCCTTTCTTGGTTCTAGACTTTGTCACTATCTGGAGCCGATAAAGTTGTTGATGGGCTCCTTTCTCAGCCTTTCGTCTTCCCGAGCCCGCTGCGTAAGGAAGCGGGCATTCAATGAAATCGACTGTTTGGGCCAGTTTGGCCCTTTCCCATTTGTATATGCTAGTAGTGGCACGATCGGTGGGATCACGAAAGGCGGTAATAATCCTGAAACCAACAAATAATGACGAATCGGCAGTATTGAGGATCACTCTGGATCCCTCCTCCTGTCCTGACATACTCTTCAAGCTTCTGGTCGAGTTCAGCATATATTAGAACGGGCTGTTTTCACGTTTGGAGAGACCTACTTACACCAACGCTGGCGAGGATGGGTGACATCAAATACGCTTATCCATATCCTGCTTCAGGTCCCCTCAAGTCTTTATCACCTACGTGCTAGTTTTGTGCTTTCGTACTGTTTTCTCACCACTCTAGAGATTAGTCTTGAATATTATTAGCCATCGTCAATGCGTATTCATCATACATCATGGTTGGTGTCGCAGGAGTGTATGATGGACCGCCGGTGATGGCGCTGCCTCCGTATGTTTATGGGGCTTATCCACCGCCAAGGACCAATACCGGGTTCCCAGACGCATGGTAAACTAAAAATCGGCCATGCGATTTTCTTGAAGTTGTCTATATATTCCTTTATTTACCTATCGTCCAGCAGTATTTGGCGTTTATATCTATCTATGCATATGGCGATTCCCTCTTTTGTGAGTTTTTGTGTGCGTTGGGGAATATAGCCTTGCAGCATTATGTTGTTGTTGCCTGCTGGATACATGCTGCTGGCATTTGGACCCCTTCCTCTTCATGTAGCAGCAAACAAGCACATAAGCGGTGAACCACAAAGTCCTTTCCTTGGTGGAAGGCCCTTCAGTTTTATTTCCTTCCCTTTGTCTAGACCTCTTTGTAAAATATCCTCCTTTGTAAGAAGTCACTGTGTGCTTTTCTTCTTTGCCAACAAAAGCTGAGTTCCCAAACAAACTCGTGTGATTTTGGGTAGTATCATTATCCGGTCGCATCTATAAGTAGAAAATAAAACAAGTTAAATCAAAGTAGTTTGTTAATTTTCTTTTCTATACGCAAAATTACCCTTTCATCGTGTCGAAATCCACCATTATTTATGAGCAAAATAAGTCGAACCGGTGATAAAAATGTAACTTTTCCAGCAATAACAAAAGGAAGACGAGGAGAAAACTCTGCTACTACGTCCATTATGCACGTCCTGCAGATTCTTAGATGACCAAAACCCCAACAGCAAGACTTCGACTGTCATCATGGAAGTATAAAGACTGAAAGTTGGAATGCCGCGTGCGTTCCAATGGCTCGGAAAAAGGGGCATTCAAATTACAATACTAAAGAAGAAGCGAACCTGGAGATGCATCGAATACAAATGAGCATATGATTTTATAATCTCATGGTAACGTATTTCAATTAATCAGTTGGAGAACAACAAAATGAAGGTCGAGCAGACGACCTCGTACAAAATTTGGCAACCAAAAGTTCCAACCTTGATAGGACATGACAAAATTTAATGCACAGAAATGGATTTCTAAACTTAACTACAAAACCAACCACCACTAGGGACTGCGGTAAGATGCTGCTATGACTTTTCGAATACTCTCTTGGGAGCGATGAGGCTCGAGGATATACGACCATCATAGCAGGCTACGAGGCATGAGAATATAAGAGTGTCCCTGCCAAAAATTGGTGCCCGTAGTGATCAAACAGCCGAAACTCAGGTGTGCTATATTAGCATCAAGTGCGGGCCTGGCGAGCAACAAATTCTTTCTCCAAGTATCTGCTATGAACTGACTGTATAAATACCTGCAAATGCCTTCAGTCACCGCTCTTTCTGAAATTGGTGAACAACTCACCAAGTTGAGATTCACAGGCAGCTTGAGCCTCAGGGGCTAGATCCTTTAGAAAAGGCTTTGTTAGGTTAAGGGTCGACATGATTTGAAAGACCCTGCTACAAAACTTGCGAACTTCAGCACGCCTCGACTGTTTCTTCGGCATGTTCTTTACCATCTCCCCTATCAAGTGACCAAGCTTCTTCAGATGTTTTTTCACCAATTTCTTTGACCTCTCCTGCTGTTGTTCATCTGGATTAGGAGGTACCAATGACCGCAAGATCTCGTGTATAAGATCGAGTGCCTCAACTCGCCGAAAATCTGATTTTGCAGAGCTACACTTCTCAAGAAGGAAGCCAAGAAGATGTTGCCCTATCCATGGCCTCCTTCTGAATATTTCTATCAGAAATTGAGATTTTATCTGTGACTTTTTGCTATCAAAGAAACCGACCATAACACCACGGAAAATATCCAGGACCTTCTGCAGCTCAGATTCTTGAAAGTTTCTTCCATCTATTATTTTCAATATCCAATACGTTGAATTCTGTGCAAGGGAAGTAATCATTTTGTGTCGATTCCTCGAGGCAGACGGCTTCTTGGATGGGTTACCAACAGATTTTCTCTTAAAAGGTTTTGAAGCCAATTTCAAGTTCCTTTCCAACAAAGACTCGAGAGAAGAAAGCTGTATCGCTTCACCTTTCGGATGATCCTTGGCTTTGAAAATTTTCTTTTGCAAAATTCCCCATATACGTTGGCCAAGCTGGTCACTACCTTCCACATTATGAAGATTGACAAATGCTTGAGCCAGATTTGAGTACACCAACAGAACTTGAGGTTTACCTGCGCAGTCCAGACAATCAATAGTTACGTAAGATATTGAACGCACTCGTTAAAGGGAATGATGTCATTTGATATCGACATAAAGTCCAATCTTCTTGTCAACTTTTCTAACATTTCACCTCAACAAGTTCGGGTAAGTGACGTCCCTACTATAAATAACAGCATTAAGGAAAACGTTATGACTGATTCATTTTTCTTTTTCAAATGACTGCAGCTATTTTTTCTCATGTACACATGCATCTATTAAATAACGATGAAACTCACTGCCTCAGGATTCATCTCTTGAACCTTGAGAAAACTCCTGTTTCCATCTAAAGCACATGCTGAAAATGCTGATAGCAAAAGGCTGCCAAAAGCTCTTTGAGCATGTCTAGAGGACTAACTAAATTATTTTCAAACCTATAGAGGATAGCAGTATCCTTAAATCTACCATGAAAAAATAGAAACGAAACCTTGCTCTCCTGCAGAAACAACATTAACAATACATATTCTGATATCTGTCTTGCTTGTTCGTGTACATTACCTGCATTTTCATGAAGGTACATCTCCAGCAAGGAGAGAACACGCAGTTTGAAGAGAACAAGTTGGGAATGAGCTGTTTCACCCCCACCGTGACTTTTTCTCTCCTTGAAAATCTGAGCAAGATAAGTATCCATGCGGAACATTGCATCGTCATCCATTCCTCCATCAGACTCCTCGGAATCTTCCGGAATTTCTCTACCACTTTCCAAATCTCCAATCACTGTCTCGGAGTCATCAGTCTCAGCCGTTTCACCCGTCTCGGCTTCATCAACTTCCTCATCTTCCTCAATCCCAAGGAAGTCTTCATCCTCATCGTCTTCATCATCATCATCCTCACTCTCTGCGTTCCGATGTCTGGCTGGCTTTATATCTTTCTTTATGACCCGTAGCATCCGCCGTAACCCATCATCGGTGACATCAGAGCAGAAATGTTTGAAAACCTAAAAATAATATTGAGAGCAAATAAGAACCGAGAACTTATATGTTGTAGTATCGTTGACAACTATCATTAACTAGCAACATGAATGCTTTTCTGGCAACAACTGTGCACACTTCAAATCCTTTCCAATCTGATAGAGATTTCAAAAACTAAATCAGAGGAAAAAAATAAAAAGTCCTTCCTCAACTTTCTCTTACCCTGCAGCACATTCCAATACACAGATGGATATCTGAGGTTTCTCAATTAACCCCTACCAGTTTTGGCAATCCCCTAGGTATCATTTAATTAGAGGAGCACACACAGAATCACACGAGTCTGTTCTCCTGGTTTGACCCCGGCAGAAAACACAAGCGAAGGTCTTTTTAAAAAGCTCAAGGTGCCCATGTTAAAAAAGAAGAAGAAGAAGAAGAAGCTCAATTTGCAAATTGCAACTGAAGGAAAAGCTAAGAATTATTTTTAGATTTCCGTGGGAAAAGTAACAGGATGATTTGATGAGATATTCGTGACACCTTCCCAGGGTAATGTATAACATCATAGAAGCATACAAAAGAACAAATAATGAACAGCTGGTATCCATAAAGTAAGTCGTACCCCCGACTCTAGGGACTTAAAAGGGAAAACCAAGAAACAGGATAAGAAAATTGACCAACAAAAATCTATGAATAGATCACCCACCTGCTCTATTGCAACCCTCATTGGCGCTGATGATTGAGGTAGCAAAGATAGCAGTGTATCAACGAGCACATCCAGTAACTCAGGTGCTCCATCACCACCACTCGGCTCATCTTCTCCAGATGATTCAAGCAGATCAGGACTAGAAAAGGCCTTCTTACAGCATATAACAAGTTCCGAAGCAGCTTCCGCAAATTCTTCAGGCCGAAGAAGCACTTGAAGAAGTAGCTGGATAAGCAAGTACCTCAATGCATGCAATTTATGTACAACAGGGCTTGGTTCGCTGCTCCTTTCCTGCCAAGACCAAAGCATTCAATGGATCTGCAATATGAGTACAAATGGGACGAACCAACAAAGGATATAATTGAATTTAACTACATAATAAACAGCTAATTTGATATCAAATCGATGAAGGATCTCTCATAGAGAATGTGAGGACTTGATAGGAGATATGGTGAAACTCTAAGTCTGACTACAGCATCTTTCGAACAATGTTAAAATCAAATTTATTCAAGAGAAGTTCAGTACCTCTCTAGAAAGCCTAGTTTCCATTGCCTGCAACTTTTTGAATGCCTTCTCATCATCATCACTCAAAGTCCGGAAGAGTGAAACAGAAGGAATGTTACGTAGGGTGCAAAGGAACCGAACAAAGTAAGAGCCTAGATCACCTTGCTCAACAGCATTCACTGAAGCTCGTGAGCCATCCCCTTTTTGGGCAGATGCCAGTAACAACTGAAGCTGCTCAATACACATTCTGCAGAGAGCAGTTGAAGTAGCTGCTTTTGGCCATCTGAACTTCTCTTGCAACTCAAAAGATGTCACTTCAGAGCCAAGAGATGCAGTAAAAAGGCCTTGAACAGCTAAAAACTTCAGAATTTCTATCTGCACCCGAAACTTCGCTTCGGAATCCAGTTTCAAGTACTTCAATATACCAGGGACAGAATCAACGATCCAAATCTTCAAGGAATCTGTGTTTCCAACAGCAGAAATAGAATCTTTATCCTCATTTGATCCAATCTCTGAGTTGTCATCAGTTGTTTGACTCTGATCTGAGGGTTCCTCGGAAGCAGGACCATCATCCACAAACATATTTGTTAAGCTCTGAATAAACAGCATGCAACCAGATTCGGTTTGGAACTCAGCCAAAAGATTTTTGACTGTCTTCGTCTGAGTAATTATATCAAATTTCCCATTGCTATGCTTCTGCAGAGCCACAATAACGGCAACTCTCCGGACATCGTCATACCTAACCCAGTCAGAGAGTTCCTTAAGGAAATGCTGTGCAACCTTGTACAGCCAGGAGTCTCTTGTTGAAAGTATATCCACCAAACCCTGGACAATCTTGTCTGACAAAACAAGAGGGATAAAAGATGCCGGCATCCTTGGGAAGAGAAGGAGGAGGACATCAAATGCCAAGTGTTTACGATCATGTGATGACAACAGAAGGGATCCTTCGATCACAACTTCAATAAAGCACTGCAGGTCCTTTGCAGTGTCTTCATCAGAAGGACCAGTCTTGCGGCCCTTTTTCTGCTTCTTTAAAGAGCCTGAGAAAGCTGCCGCATCTTCATCCTGCAAAACCGGGTCAGGCAAAAGAAGTTTCACCAGCACAGGCCACACACTATGAACACGAGGTTGGCAAAATGTAGATTCCTGCAAGATTGAGCACAGAAAGAATCTAGAGGATCAATAATGATGATTTGTGTTATTCCTGTATATTTTCTAAGGACAAATTATACATCTGAAAATTACCTTGAAGCAATTACTTAGATAAGACAAATGTTCTGAAGTAAAAAATTTGCTGGCACTGAATGGATTTGGCAGAAGTTTTCCGTATACTGGGTTATCACCAGAAATTCTGTCACGGATTTTCAGCGCTAGAAGCAATGCATCAGGATTTCCACTTTCAGCAGCCCCAGCAAACCATTCTTGAATGCCTAAAGCTCTAACAACATGACTGATCACGGCCTCAGAAGGTAACTGTACGACAACAGTTAGGCAATTAAAACGTGAGAGGAAATAGGTGAGGCTACAAGCAACGCATTCCATTTCTACGTCGAGGAAATTAATCCAAAATCAATAAGAAATACATGACCCATGTGTGACACCCTGTTCTCACTCCTTGACTGAACAAAACCCTCCATCCAGCACACGCAGTTTCTTGTCCACTCCCACTAAAGGAACAGATTGAAACAAAAACCCCAAGCAAGAAAACATACTAATAACCCCTGAAGCTGCATAGTCTCAGGGGCCTTAATTCAATGCATGGAAAAAATAAATGCATAGAGAGCTTTGGCAAATGCCCAGTGATTAGGAAGGGGCGGGATGGGACAAGGTCTGTTAGCAAAGTAACAAGTGAAATCGAAAACAGGCCAAAAACCAAGGCCTGATTTTCCCCAAAAAAAAAAGCATTTCCCAGCTATCTACTTTTTATCATATTATCATATTCAACAAGATAATGGAAACAATCAACAGCGAAAGAACTTTATTCGGCTCTCTAATTATTTTATCCACTTGTGACCTGCCAAACCCAAGATGCCAAACTTAACATCATGTTATGTAGAGTGACTACAGTTCCAAAGTAGTTAGTAGCCTAGTACACATGACCAAGAAGACATCAGTAATCTAAAAGATTTGAGAATGCCAGGGAGAAACAAGCACATAGGCATGCCAGTGGAGACATTCATCACCAACAATGGATATGCGATTTTTAGAAGGCGCTGATTAACATCAGTTTGCTTTACACAGTGATGTTTTGATTGACAACAATTCATCAATAGTGTAAGAAGAAATGGTTCCAAACAATCTATAACCTATAAGAATCTCGAGTAACTCATTAGCTTGAAGTACCTTTTCGACCAAGTCCAGAAGAACACTGACAGATGGTTCTTGCAAATACCTCTTCTTGGCTGAAAGGGAAATAAGAAGACCAGTGAATTCTCTGATGTATGGAGTACGTTTGTCAGAAAGCCACTCCTTGACTAGTCTCCCAGAGCGAGCTAGGGCACCATAAGCAAATAAACGGCCCAAAAGGCAATCCCTCACTTCCTGCAGCGTGAAGGAAGGATATGACGTTTTAATGAAAGGAACATTAAATCCATCAAAGAGAAAGAACAGTTAATAAAAAGGAAAAAGTGCTACCTGACCCTTCATCGACGAAGAAACTTCTAATAAGTCGACAGAAAGTTTCAATAAGGATTCCACCCGAATGGTAGGAACAGTACTGGCTAACAGAGTCAAACCCAAGGAGAAACCCTGTCTTGCACACTGCATTAACAAACCGAAATCATGTAAGGGATAATAATCAGTATTATAGTCATCAAAACATTGAACTGACAAAGAATAAGTGTGGAAAAAGATATTTGTTTATTGTGCCCCAAAAGAAGTATGTCTTCAGATTAATTACATCAATTGACTGCCAGACTTGTATGGATTCAAGAGAAACGGCTATAAGCAATATGGAGCCTAAATAAGAGAGTGCAAATTCCTATCTTACTGTAGGATCTGCGATAGAAAAAAAAAAGTATAAAGCGAACACATCAAATCATTCACTGTCTGAAAGCAATGACAGTAAGAAATGGAGCTACACAGCTAAACGTATGTCTTTTAAGTTCTACTATTGAAAAAAGAGTCACCAAAAGTAACAGGGCATCCACCTAGAATCAAGATTTGAACATGCCCTGCGTCGCTTTGGAAACATAAGATGACTGAGAACTTCATTCATAGATTTCGAGGAGTCACTCAAGAATACTAATTTCTTACAAAGCATACCTACTCAACCAGACAGAAAAGTTAAGATGCAAAGAAAAGGCATTTTGCGGATAGATATGACGAGCAACTACGCGATAAAAGTTCGGAAAAGCCATCAGCTCCAACCTCTCTCGACGAAGAAACTCCGCGAATGAGCCTCCGCACGGCATACTTCACGGAAGGCGCGCAATCCTTCAATCCATCATCCTTCTCAGCTTCCAACTTCGCTCCAATATCAACCAGCTCCTTCTCCTCGAGCCCATCGTACGCCTTCTGAACCGCCCCCAGCTCCGTCACCAGCGTCTCCACCGCCGCCTCCCTAACCGAAGCGTCCGCCGACGCCAAATCCCCAAACACGTTAATGTGAAACTCGGGCAGCGGATTGCCGCGTTCTCCATCCGCTCTCTCCTCCGCGGCCGCTTCCTTCGGCTTCGGCTCTCGGTCATCCAGAGAAGCGCGGTGCCGCTCCTTGTCGAGCGCCTTCCTCTTCTTCCTCCTCTCCATCGGCTTCACCGAACTCGGCAATGCGGCCGCAGAGGGAGGCGAACCGCCGTTCTCCTTGAGCAGCTTCTTCTTCTTCTTCGACGGTTCGGCGGCGGCGGCGTCGCCATTGGCTTCCTCCGCCGGATCGATCGCTGCTACTTCCTCCGCACCGCTCGAGCTCCGCTTGGTCCCCATCGGAGATTGATGATAACCTGCGCGAGAAGAAGCGAAGCTTCCTTTGAGCTTGGTGTTTGAGTGTGGAGTTTTCTTGAGGGTTCTTGGGAGTTCGATTTAGGGTTTTAGGTGTGGGGGGCATTGAATTTTGAAGAGGCTGCGAATTCTTGGAGTGGGGCGGGGCATGCTGGTGGATCGCTTGGGTCCGAAACGAATTCCGGGTCCGATACCGACCCATGAATTCTGGATCGGGCCGGTGGTGGGCCGGGCTTAGTTTCTGAGGAGGCGGCCCGTTATTCGGAGCCGTCCCCGTCCGTCCTAGAGTTCTAGGCCAGACCAGGATTTGACACGTTTGTATGGATATTAAAGAGATGATGATGTCTTCTCGACCGCTTGATGAGACTTATCTGGGATGGATTATAAGCTTCCACGTCCGTATTTTGCCGGTATACAGGAGTATTCATGTTTTTCAATGTGTAAATTGAATTGGAGCTGGACACTTTGAGATCGCATCATATAAGAAACCTTCAAATTAAATTAGATTGAAACTTCACGACGCTTAACTTGAAAGAAGCTCGTGATGAATTAGAAGAAACTTATGAGTAGATTTGAATTAGTGCGAATTGATATATATATGTGATACTAACCTAAATCTATACCGGTCCTCTGCATAGGATAATCTACACAGAGTAATCTGCACAAAGTTACTATGACCAATGTTTACCCTTTTGAGCCCCCTTTTGCCAAGAGTCGTGATTAACCGGATTAATCGTGGAGAATACCAACCCAATCACGCAAGAAAAGGCCAAACCACCCATTCCATTTTAAAAAGGAAAGAGGATTGAGGCTCTCGATTTAGGCAAATTTGGACACCCGAGCCGATGTGCCGCTGACCAAATAGTGAGCCCGATTCAATTGTCCTCATCTTGTTCTCTCTACTCTCTCCTCTATTTTCCCATCTTCCCATTGCCCCTTCCCCCATCCTGTCGAAGATGGAACGCCACCGGACTTGCGACTTCCGCCATGCACGACCTGAACCACAACCTCTGTTGGACAACGCAGCCATGCTGAGCCACCAAACCCCACGTCCACAGGCACAATCCGCCACGCGCACAGTCAGCTAGTCGCAAGCCCCCAGCTCTCGTCCCTCTCTCAATCTTCGCTTGGGCTCTCCATCGGCTGCGAGTGGAGGAGAGAGGGAGGAGCGGTCTATTCCGTGAATTCCTCCAACAATTAGGCTACTTTGATTTTAAGGGTAACTTCCTCAGGAAAATTTACCTTCCTAGATAGAAAGAACTCCAATCCTAGGCAATACATACACAAGATGCAACCAACCTCAACAGAACCAGTTATCCTTTACAGTATAGAAGGGCACTTGCCCAGATGGCCAGAACAAACTGCTGCAGAAATAGGTACTATCTAGCTATTTCAAGAACCCTCACAATCCATGCAAATGATAGAATTGAACAGCCAGTGACAGACAGAAATTCATCTTTAACCCCACTAGCCTCAGAACCAAATAGATCGACCATGAAGCCGAGACATTGAAAGTTTGCTCAATAGCTTGAACATGTAAAGGGCTCAACCACCAAAATCCTCTCCTCTATACACGCATAAAAGAGTTTCCCGAGACAATATAGCACATAAGCAAATACAACAGGGAATAAGAATTGAATGACATTCACTTTCTGCAGAACAATAAAGTGCGGATGTGGTGGTAGTTATTTCTAATGTCACCAGTCCAAAATTTCCTAAGCTTTCCTCCAACATTTAGATACAATACCCTCAATAGAAAATCACTTCCTCAAAAAGAGAAGGAAATTAAGTTTTAAAAGAGATTTCACTTCTTGACCTCCTCGTATTCGGCCTCGGGAGCCTGCTCACCACCCTGAGGACCTCCGGCTGCTGATCCACCATCTGAATCGCCACCGGTCATGTGCTGTCCAATCTTAGAGACGGCCTTGTTGGCAGCATCGAGCTTCGACTTGATTTCGTCAACGTTATCACCTTCCATGGCTTTCCTCAAATCTGCAACGGCATCCTCAATCTCCTTTGCAACTTCGGCAGGGATTTTCTCCCTATACTCACCCAAGCTCTTCTCTATGCTGTAGATGGTAGTATCCGCGCTGTTCCTGATGTCTATCAGAGCTTTTCTCTCCTGATCACGCTGAGCATGCAACTCTGCTTCCCTAACCATCTTCTCAATCTCATCCTCTGACAGGCCACCCGATGAACGGATGGTGATCTGTTGCTCTTTCCCAGTGGTTTTGTCTTTGGCAGAAACAGTCACGATACCGTTGGCATCAATATCAAATGTGACTTCAATCTGAGGCATGCCTCTAGGAGCAGGTGGAATGCCCATGAGCTCAAATTCCCCGAGAAGCTTGTTGTCTGTTGCCATTTCACGTTCACCTTGAAGAACCTTGATACCGACTTGCGTCTGATTGTCTGCTGCCGTGGAGAACACCTGCGAGAACAGAACGACAAAACTTCAATCCACATTTGTTACAAGAATAGAAAAGGCGAATCAGAGCCCTCAATAGGAAAAACCAAACACCGAGCAATCCGTTTCTCAAACTGCCCAAAAGAGAGAATATTGCAACTCAAGGCACTTTGGACTATATGCATATAACCTTTGACTCTTTGAAATCTCACCTGACTCTTTTTGGTGGGAATAGTTGTATTCCGGTTTATGAGCCTCGTGAAAATACCACCCAATGTCTCAATACCAAGCGACAAAGGAGTAACATCTAGAAGAAGCAACTCTTTAACATCACCGCGAAGGATACCGCCTTGGATTGCTGCCCCTAATGCAACAGCTTCATCAGGATTGACTCCTTTGCTTGGGCTCTTTCCAAAAATTTCAGAAACAATCTCCTGTACTTTGGGAACACGGGTCATTCCACCAACCAGAAGAACTTCATCGACCTCTTTGGTGGATATGCCAGCATCCTTCAAACAATTCTTACATGGGTTCTTAGTTCTTTCAATCAGGTGGCTCACCAAACTCTCAAACTTTGATCTAGTGAGAGTAATATTCAAATGCTTAGCACCAGAAGCATCAGCTGTGATAAACGGCAAGTTGATTTCAGTCTGCGAAGTCGATGAAAGCTCAATTTTAGCTTTCTCGGCAGCCTCCCGGAGCCTCTGCAAGGCAAGTCTATCCTTGGCAAGATCTATTCCTTCAGTTCTCTTGAACTCGCTAACCAAGAAGTCCAGCAATGCATTGTCAAAATCTTCTCCACCCAAGAATGTGTCACCATTTGTAGCTTTCACCTACAAAAAAGCATTAACGTTTCACCACAATCCCCTGGCTTATAGAGGCAAATGAAGTATAAACCATGTCAAAACCCCCACATACCTCAAAAACTCCATTGGATATCTCCAAAATGGAAACATCAAAGGTTCCACCCCCAAGATCGAAAACAGCTATAAGCCCCTCCTTGTTGTTCATTCCATAAGAAAGTGCAGCTGCAGTTGGCTCGTTAATGATTCTCTGCACGTCAAGACCTGCAATTCTGCCAGCATCTTTGGTTGCCTGTCTCTGGGCATCATTGAAGTACGCTGGAACCGTAATCACAGCTTTCGCCACTGTCTTCCCCAAGTAAGCCTCAGCTGTTTCTTTCATCTTTGTTAGAACAAAAGCACCAATCTGACTTGGGGAATACTGTTGTCCATTTGCTTCAACCCATGCATCTCCATTGGGAGCCTTCACAATCTTGAAGGGAACCATCTTCATTTCTTTCTGGGTCTGGGCATCATCAAAACGCCTTCCAATCAACCTTTTGGTACCGAAAACAGTGTTTGCTGGATTGGTGACAGCTTGACGTTTGGCCGGAGTTCCTACGAGCAACTCTCCTTTCTGGTTGAAAGCAACTACCGATGGTGTGGTCCTCGCACCTTCAGCATTTTCAATCACCTTGGGATTCTGTAGGAGAGCGAAACAATTTTAATAATCTGAACATTGGAAAAATATCCAGCATCGAAGACAGATCATAATTTTTAAACAGCAAACTACTTCTCACACTCAGTACTTCTGGCTCTTACCTTTCCCTCCATGACTGCAACACATGAGTTGGTTGTACCCAAGTCAATACCAATGACATCGCTCCCTGCCGGCTTTGAACTGTACAATGGGCGTAATACAGGATGAGTTGAATTCTTACTTGCTTCGCAGCTTAAATTTGAAACAGCAATGTATCTGTACCTGAATGCTCTGCAGAAACTTGCCCAATTCTGACCCGTATTGCAGCCGGTCCACGATGATTTGGCATGGCCAGTCAGCTGGCAAAAGAGATGCCGTGAGTGATTATCAAAATAATTGTTGAAGAATCATCATGTCATGTGCATATAAGCTTCACCGTGCCGGATTAGGACCACCCAAGACACTAGGTAGAAAGAGCTGGCTACAAGGAACAAACGCATATTCCACTCATTTTCTGTTCATGACTTGCATGGAAGATCACTGGACTACAAATCTTGGCATCACAATCCCATGCACAGTGGAATGTTTTTAATAATGACAGAATTGTCCGGATTCTAGCCCAATAAGATTACTATAGCTAACTGCATCAAGGATTGTGATAATTGGAAACATGTACCATTCAAAGATTTCTAATTAATCTCAGATGAGGATATTACAAACTAATCGTCTGCTCAGACCGACTCGAGACAAACCATTTGACCAACCGACAAAAAAACAAAAACAATAACTTTAAACAAAAAAAGGAACTTGAGTTCCTCCAGTCCAAAAAAAAAACGGAGAGGATATAAGGAATCACGAGAAATGAAATGCTTAATCCAACTCTCATGAATCACAAATATTCACCGAAAGCTCCCTTAATATCATCTGTGTGCTGGTATGCAGGCGCATACGGATTTACGAATGCAATCATGAGCCTGATACAATCATCTTCTAGTCAAATTGTTACCAAATTCACAGATTCAAACGCCACTAGCGAAGATCATCCCACGAAAATCCCCATGCATCTCCATCAGGAAAACAGAAAGTAAAGAAACGAGCTGACACGGAGACATAAAACTACAGCAAGATCAAAGAACCATCGCCAGAACGCTCAAGCTGACTTGACCGATTAAAAACCACAGCTTCAAACGCAGCAACGACGGAAAAACGAGAAATAGCAAACGAAGAAACGATAACCTATTTCGAGAAAGCCTCGAAATGAGGAATCCTACGTCAACACTGAAAGAAAACGAGCAGAAATGCAAAAGGCCTTCCCCATCTCAAACTCGACAAGCCGCCACACGAAATCAGGAAATCGAAGTCACGAAAAGGGAAGAACAGCCGAGAAGAAGAGCAAGAGACGTACGGATCTGTAGGCGGAGAAAGAAGCGGAAGCGACGTCGCGACGGCGCAGGGCGGAGCGGAGAAGAGCCGCGGCGGCCATCCCGTGAGCCAGAAGACGGCGGAAATGGAGGGGATGGGGGGGGGGAGCTTCGTGGGGCGGAGCTGGTGGTTCTCCTTTAGGGTTTAGGGTTTTAGCGGAGGAAGAGGAGGAGGAAGAACGAGTGGCCCTCTTTTTATTCGCGAGCCCGACAAGCCGAGCAACGGGGATCGTGTGGAAGGTTCTAGACGACGCTTCTCGTGTACGCGCACGCTCGCTCGCGCATCGCCGTTCATCCGACTGATCGGGGGGTGCGCGCATCCGACGGCGCTGATCGATTCTCGGACTGGTGCGGCCATTGCGATGGCGGGCACCTGATTAAATCCTCGATTGGACGACGACGACGGCGACGGCGGGTCGTTTTTGGGCATTTGCGTGGCTGGTTTGGGCTCCACAGACGCTGTTTTCAGCTGGTCAATGTCGAAATCGGCTTTTTTTTTTATCTGACTTGGCCAACAAGCTATCAAACTCTTCTGTTTCTTTTTTCATCTTCTCGACGAGTTCAAGTAATTGTTTGACGAAAACATCGCTTTTTGATAAGAAGATATGTTCATCTGTGTAAATTAATTATAGATCCCGACTTTATATCCACATGTGTGTAAATGGATATACTTTATCAAAAAAAGTAGCTGGCTTCTTGTTATCGATAGATCGGTTAATAGAGAGTTTTGTTAAAAAATGATGAGTCAAGGGACACGGGAAAATCGACAATTACATGGCATGGGTAATGGATAGAGGGTGATCGGCGACAAAGCTTGTGGGTGACCAATGGCCCCGATATTAGCTAAGGATTGCACGTAAGAAAGGAGAATGTGTGGACAAAAGACGTCGAATGGAGGCATCGGTAAGAGGTGACGGTTAAGTATTTCAATGGTTCTAGAAGTTGTAATTCTATATAGATAAGATTAACGTTCGAATTGGAAATGTAGAATATCGAAAATGTTATGTAATAATCATGACTTGGGTCGTGATTACTTAGGAGTGGTTGTAATTAGTGAGCTATAAATACCCATGCACTTTAATCAAAAGAGCGCTCTCTCACTCTCTCTCTCTCTCTCAAAACTCCTATATATTTTTAATTAATGTATTTTCTCTCTTTCACACACATTTACCATTTCCAGTACTTTTACTTTCAGAGCTTCACTTCAACACCAAGCAAATTCCTGTCCACAATCAACAAAGAACCCATTTCATAAACAAAACCAAAACCAACTCTTTTGGTGAAAGATTTTCACTTTCCAGGAAAAAGTCCCTTCTGAGTGAAACAGGATCTTATATCCATGCCTACAGGGGATGAATGTAAAGCTTTCACTCGTTCATACACTCAGCAGGGTCCTGATGATTGAAAAATGGGATAAGGAACAGGTCAGTTTAAATCTGTACAAGAAAGACAACTACATGCTATTACCACTGCTCTCAAATTGGACTCCTGGAAAGTTGGCCAACTTAGCTGGAAACTATGCAAATGAGCAAGCAAAGTTCCTCTTGGAACCCGATACTCGTGTTCCTGTCTTCAGGGCAACTTGAATTTCGAATAATCGAAAGCAACAGCTTTGCCCAGTTGAAGAGTATCTGGCGTCAAACATGACAGCCGATACAACTCATTTTTCTTCTTCAATGGCCCGGCAATAAAACCGGATTTCCTTATTGAAAAAAATTGAAGTATATTTGTTGGAAAGGAGATGCTATACAATCTGTCAACAAAGATACAACCAATAGGTCAAGTTTCCCTACAAGAAACGGGGGAAACTCAATTAAAGAAATGGTTCAATAGACCTAAAACTTCACTAAAAGGGTGCAGAGAGCAACTCAGGAGGGACTAAAGCACAATCGTCCATGTTGTTTGTGCAATCGTCCGTGTTGTTTGTACAGACCCCATCCAAGGAAAACTGATGAGAGAAATGACAGAACGAAAAATGATGATAACTGGTAAACAGGAACAAATTGAGGGAAACTTTTTGCCAAGAATAGAGGATATGTACCGCCCCAAATATAGCAGCGCCACTCACACTTCATTTCATATTCTCAAATAACCTCCTCTTTCATCATGCCTGGGGGTTCTCTTGAGAAACGACTTCCTGTTGAGAGACCAACTTCTCTGCATGACCCTCTTCCTCTGCCATTCGGCCAAGCGTTTATACAAAGCAGGGAAAACGAAGCAGAGAAGTGCGAGAAATAGCAATCCAACACAAAGCAACATCACATTGCGGAACCCGTCCCTTAATGCCGGGTCCCTTTGCTCCGTCCATGGAACTCCTCCCACGTTCATGCCAAAAACTGTGATAAGAAAAAAAAGGGGTAAAAGAATATGTGAAAATCTCCTCCTTAAGGTTGGTGATCCAAGTACTTCAGATGATGAAAGCAAACTTCACACCAGAATCCTCGTATAGAGCTTTTACCTCCGGTGATGATTGATAGAGGAAGGAATATTATGGAAAGGAATGATAGGTAATATAGCTTCCTGTTAATCTGCTCAGACTGCCAGCTATCTAGACCAGCTTGGATAGCTGTCACGCGGTTTGCTAAGAATCCCACGTTCTCCTTTAGTCTTCTCAGACGGCCAATTAATTCTTCGAGAGAGCCGATATCTTCGCTGGCAAACCACAGTTTCGAAGAACATTTTTCTTTCACACGGGGGAAAACCTGCTCACCATGGGCGATCACCTGGGCAAATTCACGTATTCAGATCAGAAAAAACTGAATCATATTCTCCTTACCAGCCAAAAGACTGTCAGGTGAAGTTTTATATGGTCCTATATGATGTATAATTTCATTCAAGTTTGTGCTTGGACTTTCAGTGACCTTTCCTGATATTCATTTCCACAGAGCCCTTCCCTATCCTATTTTCATATCTATTTCTGAGAAATGATGACAGAGTATTGGCTTGCCTCCATGGAAAGACTAGATAATGGCCTTCCACTTCCAGCAACAATAGTTCACATAGAAATTCCTGTCTGGTTTCATGATGTTAAGACATACATCTGAAAGGAGATGGAAGTACCTGCAAGAGCCGCTGCAAATTAATATGCATTTTTGGAAATCTCCTATCATCCAGCATTTGTTTCTTCAAAGCAGAACCACCTGTGAACAAGTAAATAGAATGCTGTCTCTTAAATTAAGTGGAAGATTCAAATTATGTACAGTACAAACCAGCTCCAAGAACTAAAAATACAGCAGCAAATCATCTACAGAGAGCTTCTTGAAAATAGGTGCCCAATTATTTCTTCTCTCAACATCAAAATGTCTATGACCAAATGGAAAACTTGTGGACGAGCTAGGAGTAGAGGCAAGCGTCTGCCTTGATCTAGCTTTCTTGACAATTCCACCACAGCAACTCGAACTTTAACACTAGAAACAAGTTTAGACAATTCCATGCTGTTAAGATGTTGCGTTCATTAATTACCCATTTCATAAGCTTTCCCATGATAGCAAAAGATGCTTATATGCAGTTAAAGAAGTGAGATATTGTAGATACTAGAAGTTACTTTAAGGGTGTGTTCGTTTCGCGGAAAATGAGTGATTTGAAAAACATTTTCCGAAAAATAATAGCTTGTATCGCTTAAAAAAATAAATTAATGAAAAAAAATTTCATTGCCCACAAAAAAAATTAGGCATAAATTGTTATCGATGATGAAAATATTTACCGTTGACTAATTTTTCTAAACGATATCAGCAATCATTTTTTGGAAAATGTTTTCCAAATCACTCATTTTCCACGTAACGAACGCACCCTAAATTTGAGAATTTTTTATAAACAGAGCATCGCATCTTACAACTTCGGAAAGAATGTGGTTTGTACGGACAGAACTATGCACATAAATCTTGATCACAGCCCCACAAAATTGAATCAGCCAAGATGTGAGAAGATGATTCAAATAGATTAATCATCATATCTGTCGACTAGATTTCAGTAAGATAAAAACGACTTCAGGCATTCAGCTAAAGAAAGCACCCATCAAACTGGAAACCTTAACTTCATGCATGCATCTACTAATTCACATTTTTGCAGCCCTTTTGAAGTCCATGTTCAAATGTCTCAAATGTCCCTGATACTCACAGGGACTGAGATATGTTTTACTGTGATATTGTATGGCTATCAAATCTACACTGCATACTGCTATGAGATATTTGTCAAAGCTATATGAATTAAGGATGCAAGACAATTAGAAACCTACGGTAGCACATGATGCAACCACTGCCATCAAGCCTGCTATTTGATATAGGAAAAAAATGAACCCTAAACGCAACCAGGAAAGCAGCTTGTATTCAAGAGAGATGAATCATCACTGAAAACTTTATTCTCTAAGCGTAACTTACCTTTATCCAATTCAAGCTCCACTGAGTCCAGGTCGATCTCGAGTTTGGTTACAACATCTTGCAAGTGATCCACATGTGTATCCAGAATGTGAACAACAAGATTGGAGACGGATTTTGGCACCGGGTTATCAGCCTCCTCAGAGTGATTCATCGTTAACAAGAACTCGAGGACATGCTCCTTTATCACAATCCCACTCCCTTCCTTCTGCTCATCTCTAGCGTAAGCGGGATTTTCTATGCTAGGAATTTCCGAGAGAAGAGATTCACCCATCCTCGAGAACCCCAAACGGGGCACACGACCAAGAGACACAGTAATAACCGAGTTCTCCGTAACTCTAGCAGCAATTCTGAACGTAAAGTTGCTAGATGGTGGACCAGGCGAGTTAATCCTAAAAACAAGCGCTCCATCAACATGTCCGCAAAATGGTCCATTACTCACCAGCGAGAGAATGTCTTGCAGCTTCAGGGGCGGGCAAAGAACATCAATGAGATACTGCGCGGATTGCGACAGCATCTGGTTTCCTTTCGGGAGTTCCACATGGTACCAGCAAAATTCATTGCCACTTCCTTCAGCTAGATCCCACTCCTTATTATAAAACCTCCCCTGCCCATCAAATATATAGGCCCTTTGCCTCACGGCCCCCGGAAAGTGGGTTCTATGCAGGCTGGCGGTTTCTCTAAGAGGAGTATCCGCGGAGGTTTCTCGATCCATTTCTTCTGCATCCCTGAAATTGATTGCTTCCTCTCTTGCTACGTCCATTATCAATATGCCTAATCTCTAAATAGCCAATCAAAAGGTTCAGCGATGCAACGTACACACCAAATTCTGTCCAGAGGCTATTATCCTGCAAATTGCAAGAGGCGGATCAGGCACTATTTCATCATCCCATTATCGCCGGAACGGAAATGGAAAGACAGAGAAACAGATCCCTAATTACAAAAAAGCATGCAAAATCGAAAATTTCAAATCAAACCCATCAGTCAACTTTCGAAAAGAACCAAGACACATCCAGCAATCAGGCCAAAAGCAATTCAGGAAACAAGAAACGAACCCGGAAAGCATGGAAACCTTTCGAAACCCATTGAATTTGTACCCAAATGCGCATATGACTAAGCAGAACACAACGAGAAAAAGAAGGTAAAAACAGAGGCTGAAAGACAAGAATTGCATTTACGTCGCAGAAAGTCGAGGCCTTTCCAAGATGGGCAGCGTCGAATATCACCGGCAACCCCCCCAACGAGCATCAGAAGCCGATTCCAAACCCAAGAAACAAGAACCCACGCGGAAAAGAAGAGCTCATTCGGTTTCTTGAAGGTCGAGTCTTCTCTGGCAATACGCTACAGCATAGCCCAAACCCAGATAAGATAAGATACAAATCACGAGGGTGGTGGGTGGTGCAAATGGGGAGAGCCAAAAGGAACTGAGCACGTCGGAGAAACCAAAGGCTAAAGCCGGAGCTAGCTAAACCCAGAAGGGAGACAATGTCGCAGGCATTGGGAAGCATCGAAGAAACATCCTCGTTCCCAGATGGGGGATCGTTGACCGAGTTAAAAATGCTTTGAAATGTCGCAAGTTGATAGTAAATTTCTTATCATAAAGATTCGGTAAGCACCGGCACCGTCACCGCGCGTGTTTGTTTCAGAGGATAACCAAATATGGAACCGCCCGCTACCCGTCACGTCCTCACGTTGTCGCCCGTTTAAAATTATCAAACTCGTGTTTCTTCTCCCGTCTCTCTCTGCTTGGAGTAGGCGAAGACGGGGAGGGGTTTCCATCTTCTTGTTGTCTTTTATAAATCTGTCCGAGGTGTGTTGATGGAGGGAATTTCGATTATTTTTGGGATAAAATACATTTTAAGTCGTAAAACTTATCATAAAAGTACAATTGAATTCAAAAGCTTTAAAAAATTGCAATTGAGTCCTAGAACTTGTAAAAAAGTGCAATCGAGTATTAAAACTTTCAAAGAGTGCAATCAATTCATAAAACTTGTCAAATTGGTCTAATCAAATCAAGCCTTACATTGATTGCATTTTTTTTTAAAGTTTTAGGACTCGATTGTATTTTCGCGACAAGTTTTAGAACTCGATTGCACTTTCATGACAAGTTTTAAAACTTCTAGTGCATATATCCCACTATTTTTACGGTTCAGGCTATGATGCTTGCGGTTTGTGACAATTCAGTCTTCTTTCTTTCTTTCTTTCTTTTTTTGTTGTTGCAATATTGAGGAATTCACCCGGGTTCAACATTAATCTTGATTTATTTAAAGTAATATTTCTATATAGTAAACAAAAAAAGATTATAACATGTTACCTCCTCCGTTAATCTCTCAATATCGCAAAAAGAAAATAAGTAACATAAAAGAGATCGATTAACTCTCCTTATATCTTGAATTATATATTTTGATCCAATTAGGCTGTCTCGAGAGAGATCTATTTTTTATCCACATACGTCGCAAGAGAAAATATCGGGTGGGCCGGCCCCCTCCACATCGCCAGGGGGTCGGGGCCGTTTAATGGACGACACGTGGCGCCACGTGTCATCCCCCCACTCCCTCCGCCCTCTCTCTCACTGACCCAGTAGAGAGAGAAAGAAATTACAAGAGAGAGAGGAAGCCCTTTTCGCTAGGAAAATTGTTGGAACAAGCGTGTTTTAATAACTTGATTTTCATTTAATTTCGTGTATACGAGATGATTATTCTAAAAAATTCATGCGAAATAAAAAAAAAAACAAAAAAATTGCCCCACAAGATTCATTTTGCCACCTAATTAAACAAATCTTGACTTTCACTTTAAAAAGCATGTTTCCTAGAAATTGCAATATCAATACTAGATATTACTCTCCTTACAATAAAATCTTACTCTAATATTTTTTTGTTTTTGTTGCAATGCTGTTGCAAGTGGGCATGTGAAGACAGATAAAGGAACTTCCTACAAAAGCATCAAATCATAGATCCTATTTTTATGCTTGCTATCATTTTACTAAATCGTAGTTTTTTTATTTCACACATTGGTGCTGGCCAGTTAGTTCGGTTGAACATGAATCATGAGACTCTAAGACTTAAACAAAAAGGATAATAATTAAGTTAAATAAGTGTAGATGTCAATGGAGTACAATTGCAATTGCTCCTAGAATGATGTGACGATGCAACTAAAAGTCACATGATTGAATGCTGAATTAAAGTAGGGATCATCCAAAGTTCTGGATGAGAAAATTGTCGAAAAAGCCGTAAACTTATTGTGCTTTTGCCAATTTAGCCTTACATTTTTCAATTTTGCCAATTGAGTTATAAAAATTTTCACATTTTGCCAATTGAGTTCATCCAACATTTTTTAACTAAAAATAGCTGACGTGGACGCTAATAGTGCCACGTAGGATGGCCGACCCTATAGCGACATGGAGGGGCTGCCCACCCAATATTTACTCTACATTGCTATCTTCGAAGAGATTGCATATTTTATCTCTTGATAAGGATTTCTAGATTGTAGATGCTATCGGCAATCATATTAGATATAAAGCAAAGTTGGATGAGGATTTCAAATTTAAATCTTTACTCGAAAAGTTTCTAGAGAGACTACTCCTAGTTTGTTTTTTTTATTCGTATAATAGACAGAATTTCGGTTCGAAATTGTCGAAATCATCGCTTTGTAATCCAATAAATCTCTCCCATCTCGACTTGTATATCTTATCTTACAATTGTGGAAAATCATTTTCTACGATTGTTCAAATACGCAAATAGTTTGTTTCTCTCAACTCAATCGAGGGCATGTTAGGAGTGGTTTTTAACTTTTTATAATTTGATTTTTTATGTGGGAGAAAATAAAGTGGCCTCATCCTCATCATGAAGTGCCACTTGTAATCGTGACATTATACAATCCAATCAATCGAATAAAATAACAAATCTCAATTTTCATACCCTCTACCCGTTGACCCGTACCAAAAATCCATGTGTTCGGTATACCTAACGAGTATTTTGAAACACTTACTAGCACGATTTGGTACGTGTTTGTATATATATAAGCGCATACAAGTATATAAATGCGCGTATGTATGTACGTACATTTCACATTTTGTGTCATTTATGTGGATGCAAAGAGATTGTTTAATAGCTTTCAAAGGGAAAAGAATTTCAAAAAATCCCGAGAAAAAAGTCCATTCATCCAGCTTCGGCTAGGGATTTTCGTAAAGCTATCTCATGTGATGGCGCACCCTTTGTTTTTATCACGAGAGAGATGTAACTGAAATATTGCTAGAAAAGTACATGGGTCTTTCTTTCATGACTTAATAAAGGGGAAAATGACGTAAATGGTAGGGGTGAGCATAATGGACTGCCCGAATCGGGATTGGACCGAACCGGACCGGACCAGCCGGTTTGGTCCGGTTCTCGGGAGTATCGGTCCGATTCCCGGTTCTTAAAAGTGGAACCGGTTTCCGGGCAGTCCGGTTCTCGGTTCTAGGGTGAGAACCGGACCGGACCGGACCGATAAATATATATATTTATTTATTTTGCTTGGAAAATATATATTTATTTACTTTTTTAAAATTTATGAAAAAAATAGAAAACATTTTACCAGTTTACCTCTGCAGCAAATGTCCCTGCTGTTTCCCATAAAGAAAAGACAATCCAATGCTTTAAGATTAAAAAATACCCTAATCACTGAGGCGCTCCCCAATTCACTCTCGCCCTCACCTCTGAGGCTCTGCCTAAGACATTCTATTAAGAAACAAGCTTGGATTTTGCCGCAGCATTATAATTAACGCTTTTGTCATATTGCAGTAGGTTATTATTTCATATCCTAGGTTACTAAATGAATAAGCGATTGGTTCCATTGGAACCAGTCCACGGTCCCAAGACTAGCCGGTCAGGTTCTCGGTCCTAAAAATTGGGAACCAGTCCTTCCGGTCCGGTTCCTGGTTCTTGGGTGGGACCGGACCGGACCAGGAACCGCTCACCCCTAGTAAATGGTCTTTGAACTTTGGTTCAATGTGAGATGTCGTCTTTAAACTTTTAATTTGTTCAATGTAATCTTTAACAATTAGTAAATGTTAAATCCAGTCCCTCGATTATATGGAAAATATTCATTGTCCTCCTTCCATTAATGCAAGTGAATGGTGGATAACAAAAAAAAAATCACATACAGATTATCCAAATAAGATATTTATATCAAATCATGATATAATAATCCACATCATTAATAATGTTAGATGCATTAAAACCCAATTTTTTTTTCCCCTTTTTAAAGTAGATGGATCAAAACATAAACATGTTGACCCATCATTTTTAAAAGTCCAACTCAGCTATGTTAATCTACATCATCAGATAATGCCTGATTTGTCATTTGAGCAAACGAAGGATTACATTTAACATTTGGTAATAGCTTAGGGACAACATCAAACAAATTAAAATTCCATGGGCGACATTACACATTGGACCAAAGTTCAAAGTCTATTTGTGTCATCTTCCCCTCAATGAACTATACATAGGACATACATGTACACATTATGCTTTGTGAAAAAAGTCGATAATGTTGGATATTTCAATGATTTTGAAAATCTTAAAGCCATTGTTTTGTAAAGGTTTTGATAAGAGTCATGACAGCTATTAATTTGTATCAGTTTTTAAAAAATGATATATTGTGTAACGGTGCTGTAACGGTTTTGTAATGTTTGAATTATTTCTTTAGTAACCCTTTCCTTCATTAGCCTAGTCAAAATATACAAAAAATAAGAAAATTCTTTCTTTTCTTTCCATTTATTTGATGTGTTTTACATATGAGATATAGTTCCCGTTCCCTCTATTATTCAATGCTGAGTAAAGAGGAAGATCTGATTTATCGTGGGAGGATAACCGCTAGAGCTTGTCACACATTATTTTGTACTCCAATGATCGGAATTATCCTTAAGGAGTGGTTCAAATATACTAGATTGCTACCTATACATGTTCAAAATATACTGGATTCATGGCCACGTATCCTGCCCATGCTTAGAACTTGCAGAGTTCCTCGTCACAATTGCTATTCATGCCTTGAACTTGTTAGATTCATGATTATATGAGGTGTTCATGGTTTGCATTTGTTTGGTAGGTGTTCGTGCTTGTTGTCTGTATACATTTTTGTTCAAATAATGAGGGTTTGGTCTCATTTTATTATTATTTTGGTAATATCAACAAATATATTCACGTGGGAGGAAGTCGGGTGGAATTTATATTGCTCCTTTGCTGAATATTTGTATTCCCATAACTTAAACAAATCAAATTTGATTAAGAAATACACTGGGTAAGAAATTCTTGAATTGGATTTTCATGTTATTCGATAAACCATAAACTATGACATCATACATAGTGAATTTTTCACTGTATTAAAAGTATACAGTGATGCTAACTAAAAAATCAAATTCAGATTAGACAAAATTTACTAGTGGATATATGTTCACCCATGGTGGAGAACTATAACTTCGAAATCAACCAAACAAAATTGTGGGGTAATGGCAATCTTACTAGACCAAAAATCGACCTGGTTGAAGTTGATGATTCTTACGACATAATTGTTAAGATCATTTCTCAAGCCAATATTATGGCCAATGTGAAAAATTGGATGGTAGACTCATGCTACCAGGTACATCTTTACAAACAAAATGTCTTATAATCCTACACTCCAGGAAGGAAGGAGAGGAGATTATTTATCTTGGTGATTCGAGAACTACTCAAGTTCTTAGGAAAGGGAAAAATCTTCTCAAACTAACATC